TGTATTACACGAGAGAAAATGGTGACCAAATTATATATATGATCGTCGCTTTTGTTACAACAGGGAGAATGGGACGAAATCAAATACCTGATCTTTGCTCCTGTATTACACGAGAGAAAATGGTGACCAAATTATATATATGATCGTCGCTTTTGTTACACCAGGGAGAATGGGACGAAATCAAATACCTGATCTTTGCTTCTGTATTACACGAGAGAAAATGGTGACCAAATTATATATATGATCGTCGCTTTTGTTACACCAGGGAGAATGGGACGAAATCAAATACCTGATCATTGCTCCTGTATTACAGAGAGAAAATGGTGACCAAATTATATATATGATCGTCGCTTTTGTTACACCAGGGAGAATGGGACGAAATCAAATACCTGATCTTTGCTCCTGTATTACACGAGAGAAAATGGTGACCAAATTATATATATGATCGTCGCTTTTGTTACAACAGGGAGAATGGGACGAAATCAAATACCTGATCTTTGCTCCTGTATTACACGAGAAAAAATGGTGACCAAATTATATATATGATCGTCGCTTTTGTTACACCAGGGAGAATGGGACGAAATCAAATACCTGATCTTTGCTCCTGTATTACACGAGAGAAAATGGTGACCAAATTATATATATGATCGTCGCTTTTGTTACACCAGGGAGAATGGGACGAAATCAAATACCTGATCTTTGCTCCTGTATTACACGAGAGAAAATGGTGACCAAATTATATATATGATCGTCACTTTTGTTACACCAGGGAGAATGGGACGAAATCAAATACCTGATCTTTGCTCCTGTATTACACGAGGGTAAATGGTGACCAAATTAACTGTCTGATCATCTCAAGTTTAACACGGGGAGAATGATGTCCCTTGTACACTTATTCATTTATGTTTTAGTTCCGATTAAGACAAATTACAAATATAGATCATCATGGACGATATGTTACTAAGCGAAAACGTGTCAAGGAAATGTTGTGGATGTAGTATTTTTTCACATGTGTAGCAAATGATTGATAAACAAAACATTTCAAACTTTAGAGTAAAAAAATATTTTATCATATGTAAATGACAGTTATGTTATTCGTCTGACTTGTAGGAACCGTTAGTCTTTGTTGTGTTGATCTCCTGCACTGATGTAAACCGTTATAAATAGTGACATTTACTTATCAGCAACCGGTATGGATATCTCAGCCAGGAAGCAGAAGAACAAGTTAGGATTTTAAAGTGATGGGAAATAACTCAAACTTCAATTAACTGTTCAATCAATTAAACAAGCATGTGACTTTGTTAAATCTTGATTCTAAAAGCTCGTTTGGACTGGGATAAGGATTACGATACGACCTTAAAGTCGCAAACGTGAATGATCTTGTTCTCAGATTATATAGATGAAAGACATTTTCAAAATCCCAGTAAGTTTTACAAGAATAACTCTGCGCAGCATTCAAATTCTGAAAGTTGGATGTCGAAATGTCAGGATGTCAAATTCTGAATGTAGAATGTTGAGCCTAAAACAGTCGACTTGAAATCATAATGCATGGTTGCAAATTGATGTATCCTTAGACTACTCCAACAAATCTCATTCGAACAGAAACTCTTACATAACCATAACCAAAAACATATGCTATACAGACAATGCATCAGTGATTTTAATACCATTGGGACCTAACTCAAATGCACACATTTGTCAAGTTTCAAGGGTGTGCGTCAAGGATTTAATTTACAATATTAACTTTCTGCTAATTGCGTTTCTTTTTCCTCTCAGTATAGTTGACAGAAACTGACGAGAGGATAGCATATACGTCTGTTTACTAATGGAAGGGGAATAACTCTTCATGTGGTTTTGTGGATTTGAACAAATCTTCTCATCATCTGTTCAAAGTTATGCCTAGCTACTGGGGAATGGATTTAAGATATCAAAAGTACAGCGCAGGGAGAGAAACAAAATATAACTATTTAAACTGTTAAAGTATACAGGTTTATACACAGTAATATGACGTTTTTATCGCCAAAGAGTTGAATATGGAGAAAGCTAACAAGTTTTGTGTCAACATTTGAGAATAGTTGAAAACTGAGAGAGATGTGCGGACCAGAAAAATAAATGCATTCGGTGGACGGACGAACGGATGGACGGACGAATGGTGAACGAACATGCGGTTTGACGGAAGGAGGGACGTGTGGTAATATTATTCCGTTGACTAATATTTACGTCGACATCAAGTTTTTGACGGGGGGGGTTGATGGAAATTTAGAGCTGAGACATCGACACATAATTTGTTTTCATAGCAAAATGAAATCATTCATTTTTGAAAATTTTTGAATTATCCAAATTGATTTCTTCGTCAAATTGGCCTGCGATCATAGAACAACAACGCTATAGAAACGGTGTACGGTGGTGGGTCTTATTGGAAAAATAATTTATTCATAATTTTAAAAACAAATCAGATGTATATGATATCAACTGTTCGCAGATTGGCTTCATCGAGTGGAGCCATTTAATCAATCCCTATTCTGTGATCAGATTAACACAGCTTTAAGCAATACTGTTAGAAATACAGTTTTGTAAATTATTTTTTCCGGAACAAATGCATAAACAAGGGATCACGAAAACGAATGCATTGTCATGGCTAACTCGAATTCTTTGTAATTCTGGTCTCCATGTCGTGTACAGGTCAAGGGACAGAGGATAAAAAATGATAGAACAGAATTTAACATTTAAGAAGAATATCTTCAGAAAAAATGTGGCGAGAAAAATCAGATACATTGTAAAAGAGGAGTTGACTGAGGAAGAGTAAAAAGGTGGCATGATTTTACAAAATGATTTGAACATTGGTCAGTGAGATGGCTACATAACTTCCATCCACACCAAAGGAAAGCGGATTGATTGCATTTTCACTATTTTTGCTGCCATAGAAAAGCACCTCTGTCGACTTCCATCATTGAAAACAGTCATAGATCATCTGATAAAATTGGCCAACCAATCAAAAAGCCTGATACAAAAACAGTGAACAATTTTAAATGTTATAAACAAAATATTAAAATATCTTCCGAAATGACATACATGTGCATTATGATTATTAATAAAGACACTGTTTTACATATAACATTTCAGGGGCACCTAATGGACGAGAAGAACTGGGGGAGTATAGAAGAAAAGGAGTAAGGAAGGACACTGGATGGATATTTAAATATTCGAACTGCAATCAATAAGGCGTAGATAAGACGAATTATCATTTTATATAAAACTGAAGAATGTCTACATACTTAAATGAAGAACTATTTACATTTTGTAAATAACCTTTAAAGGCATATAGTAGACACCGACCTTAAATGTATGGAGCCATGTGCAAATGGAAAACTTGAATGAATTTACAAACAACTTCCAGATGTGTACAGACAACTTGAAGATGAGGGCTACGAAGCACAAACCTGGTTTAAGTTTAGTGAATTTTTGTGAAGATTTTAAATAGTGGGGCTTTCTGAATATCGACCGCGAAATAGTCAGAATCCTTCAGATACACATCTCATAATACACATATGCGGCACTTCAACATACCTTGCAAATATTGACTCGTTAAGGTATCACTTCCATGTATGAAATAATTTCTTTTTCCCTATCCCTTTATCGTCAACACCTTACAATTGTTTGGATGAAATTTGAGCAACCATTTCTCGGACCACAACTGAAGTTTATCCAAGTCGTTTTGGAGTAATGCTACATCATCAGCGCCTTTCACTTGTCCGTATATTTTTGTGTCGTCAGCAAACAATGGTGATGGTGACTGTGTTACTTCAGGTAGATCGTTTATTTATCATACAAATAGAATAGGCCCAAGCACGCTTTCCTGGGGGATACCACTGATTACCGGATACGTCGCTGAAGTTTGTCCATTGACAATTACTCGTTGTCATCTATGTTTGAGAAAGTCTCCCATCCAATTTACCACTTGTGTACTTATTCCATATCCTAATAATTTCCTGAGTAATCGCTGGTGGGGCACTTTATCGAATGCTTTCATTAAATCCATGTAGATTACATCAATTGCTCCGCCATTATCTTGATATTTCTGTCCAAGCACTGTTAGCAGCTGCAGTTGTGTAGACCTCCCAAAGATGAAACCGAATTGTCGTGGAATTTAAAGTTCATTCTTATTCATATGTTTTACAATACCACCCCTTACAATTTTCCCCAGTGTTTTCACAATTATACAACTTGAGTCCACTAGTCGGTAGTTTCCTTGGTCTGATTTAAAAAAAAATAACTGTTATGTTAGCCTCTGTCCATCCCTGTGGTAGTTTTCCTTCTGTTAACGCTTTTGTTATAAATATATGCCATACGTGTATGTTATTGAAATACATCGTGAAGCGGTCCATGAAGCTCTCGATAGCATATCCAGTTTCCTTTCCAATCAGGAAAAAGGAAATTCTGACACGTTAAACAACTAAGTTTAAACATGACTGATCATATACAAATATTAGAGGATAATACAGCCGACAACGCATAGCCGAGGGGAGATAACTCATAGATATATAAAGTTCAGTAGGGATACAGCTTTTCCGCGAAACATTTATTTTCTTTCAATGCAAGCAACATGTCAACATATAGAATGCAAATACTTTCTCGACAACTCATCAAATCAATATACACTCCAGTCCTTATTTACCCGTGCCGTTTACGATGTATCCTATTAACGGCTAACACAGGGAAAACGCATTCTCTCTCTCTCACTCTCCCTCTCCCTCTCCCTCTCTCTCTCTCTCTCTCTCTCTCTCTCTCTCTCTCTCTCTCTAACATAGTTATTTCGCAAGGACATAAATTCGCAATTTTCGCCATAGGTTAGTTCTTTTATAACTATGATGAAAATGCACGTTAGTGCCACCTTAATATAAATCAGCCAATTAGAACCATTCTTACATATCGCTTTCGGTTTTATAATAACAAAGTCACGTGATACTGATTGGATGTAGTATGTCATAAAATGGAGATCGTAGCAATGTTATTGTGAAATATCGTTTTCGCAGGTATATCTAGTTCAATTTGAACTTTTCGTCGAATATTGTACGACTATTTGTTTTACAGGTAAGATATATTCTACATCGACAACTGTGTGAACCTTTAATGTGATCGTTCGTTTTGATTTATCGATTTGACAAACTGGGATTCACGTTAATCTGTTTACTGGGTTAACAAGTACGAAACACATTTACCATTTTGTTACATTTAAAGATAATTATAAGTTAATGTGATTACTAATTCTGCTATACAGAGTGTTGAATTGTCAAGATTTATAATGAACTTGTGTTATCTATTAACTTCTCAAGTTCTCGGAGTATATGGAGCTCCTATAAATCAGTGATAATACAAGTTATAATGATAAAAACTATGATTGGCAGTAATTTGAGACATTGGTTATTGTTATTTCACAGTTTTCATCAGCTAGGTACAATATTCATTTAGAAGCATATGAATAAATGGATTTAACTACATCACTGTTTAAAAAGTAGCTCTGACAAAACCTAAAATGAACAACTGACAGTTAGACATATCAGTTAGACTGATATTCACATTTATTATGCTGTTATTGGTGACTATGATCGTTTTAAAATGAGCATAGGCAATCAAAATGTAAATATCAATAACAGCGTAATAAATGGGAATATTGACATTAAACAATTAATTTAGAGACAGAAATTGTCTCACAGATCCGTATACATGTAAAATACATATAAGGAAGTCACTTTTTATTGAGGGCTCAGTTTAGTATGTGAAAGAACCATTATTATTTTAATATCTATCAGTAAATAATAGCAACTAAATTAGTTGATAAATACATATCACAACAAAAATGAAGTCGTGACTAAAATTAGATTACAAACCATGAAACAGTTCTGTACATAGAAATAATTGTATGACTTTAAAAATTGAGTTGAAACGTCTTACTTAGACTGGTAACTGAAAGTTGAAATAGGTAAACCTGTAGACATATTTACTTCAGCCAAAGAATACTAATGAAAGATTTGCATGAAAACCTCTGGGTACTTAATCTTAATGTGATAATTTGATCTTTTTCAGTTAATTGCTCACACTAAAGGCCTGAATGGGCCATAATGCATCCAAGAAGAAGACACCGTTGTCATCACCAACCAGTCTTTCATCTGGTAACAATGACAACGACTCAGACAGTGATTCGGACTCCAACCAGGAGAAGATAACTCCAAAATTGCAAAAGCAACGGAGCAGTAAAAAGAAGATGCCACTGTTCAGAAGTCAGAGTGAAGCGGCAAAGCGCCGAATGGAGCATCTGCTGTACTTGGTAGGTTTAAGTACCGTTTATAGTTGTTAGTGCAGCTAAAGTACCAATGTTAATACCTTGCCTCCTTCTATTCTGGCATGTTATTATGACAGCCTTATTCCTCATAACAGAACACAGCCAGAGTGAATCACTCCAGCAGTGATTTTACACCTGTATATTAGTTTGCAATTAATGTAAACCATGTCTGTGATAAATGAGTTGAAGCATGGTTGGTGATTTTTAGCTATAGACATCACAATATAATTAATTGTTATGTTGTCAGACCTACAACATTGTAGCAAAAGCATCCGTCTTGCTGTAGAGATACAAAAATTTATATACTTCTACACATAGATTTGAATTATTCAAATTCATGTACATTGTATGTATAAATTGTTGTGCCTTCATGGGGAAATAGAAATACAAGAGCATGTAAACAATAATGAATTCATTGTGTCGTCACTGATTGAAATTAAGTGGAGAAATTTGGAATTGTTGATGTATATGATGTTTAGAAAGAATAACTGTTACAAGAGTATAGGAGATTAATTACGTTATTGATGTATTTAGTTTAATGATATCTGTACTTCATCAAACACAGTCACTTTGATTGGTCAGACTTTGATTATTAGACATTTGAGCAGAGAAACACATACTGTTATAATGCAATATACAGAGCTTTGTTACATGTATATTTCAGATACATACTGATAAAATGTTTTTTTAATGTAGGGTCAGGAGAGTCCAGATTCGAACTTTGACCTATCCAGTTGTGAAATGTCAGAGGTTTGTAGCATGCGTACCACTTTCTGCAGAGTTAAAAGCTTGCAATATATAATTTTATGAAACTTGTTTGTTTGTTAATTGATTTACATTATGTAAATATTTGGCCAAACTTTTAAAGTTACCACAGGTAAAACTAAGTTGGGATTTTGGACAACATATTCTGTTTGTATGTTGGGATGAGACTCATCAAACTTTAGCACATTTTACTCATTAATATTCTTACAAATATTGCATTATGTACCTATAGGTGGTTGATATCATTTTGGTTATTGTGGATTTAAGTGCCTGTAACTGTGATTATTGTCAAATCTCTATAGATATCTTTATGTATAAGGTACTTTGTCATATGAATCAAAGTGATAATCTGTCAGATATGACACTGTGTAATGTCAATACATCTGTACCACCATCAGAAATTAAGTGCTGCTGCTATTCCTATCAATCCTAGAATATAGGCACTTCATAGTATGGACATCTGAATCTATCAAATAGATTACATGAATATCATTTCAAATTTTCCTCTTTCTTCTCGGAGAGTAATATTTTGGGGTAAAAATGTCATATTTGACTAAATTTTAAGAAATGAAGACTTTAAAAATTTTCATGTTGTATTTTACATGTCATCATATTTAAACATGACAATTATATATCTATGGTTTTTATATATTATGTACAAGTTTTAGTGTATTTTGGAATTTTCGGAAAATTTAGCACAATATGGGATAAGCCAGACATATAATTAATTGGAATTTATTAATAGTGCTACGTATACATGATTTAATTTGCAGAGACACAATGTTATTAGCTTCTGAAATTTGGTTTTATACTTGTAGGTGCCACCCAATGTATATTCTTTATGCAAAGTGCTGAACAAAGAGGTGAGATAATCTGTAATGGTAAAGATCTAGTCAATAGTTAAAGAACAGCTGATCTCTTTGTATTGTTTATATTGATTTAGGAAAATATTAGTGTTCCCACTTCCTGGTATCGATGTGCAGTGAACAATGGCTCAGAAAATCAAAGAAAAAGTTTCTTTATTTCTCTATTCCTGTTAATTTTGATGATGGCAGAATTATTGAGCAATTTATAGCCATATTAAGATAAGTACAGTGATTTGTTCATGACAACATTTCTGTATAACCAGAAGTAATGTTATTTTTCTTTGGTTAACTATCACACTAACTGCTGCAATACACAAATTGATGCATAATATGATAGATCAAACACTGATACATAATATGATGAAGCTCAAAATGATACTTTACTTAAATAATTTTCAGGCATTGCTGTTGAATGACAATTGGATATCAGGATTAGATAGCAGCAAGGTTGGGGATCTGAAAACACTTCGGGTAAGTAATACTGGATGATACACTGAAAGTAATACCATTATGAATATTTTTCTGTTATAGCTGAGTTTAGGTTCCTTTTCCAGAACTGAAATTGTGACAGAATTGATGTTTCACATTTTATATTTTTTCTTTTTGGTTATATCTGAAGTATACAAATTTGTTGATTCAGGTTTTGGACCTTCATAATAATGAAATCAAATTGCTGCCTTTTGAACTGAGTGGTTCATCAAAACTGCAGGTGAGAATATTCATCATTGTTGAAATTAATGGACTTCTGGCAGTGCCTTTATACTTTCTTTTATCATTTAATTTTCTTTTGGACATTTTTTAGTACTAGATCTCATTTGAAACCATTCAATGGATGCCAATTTTAGTATCACATTGTGCTGGTTAGTATGTACAAAAGAAGTATTACCGATAACATCTGGAATAAAGTAATGGCTACACACTTTTCAAATAGATAAGCTCAACCTCATTCTAATTTCTTATTTATAACTTCAAATAACATATAAGGAACTGTAATGTCAAGCATACAATTTAAATCTCTTATTTTGGTTTGATTATGGAATGTGAAATTTGATAAAAACAGTTGTTTTGTATTCAGTGTTGCTTGATAAATTTACAAAGACTTTTCTTTATTTCCAGGTTTTAAATCTTGAAAATAATAGGTTGGGACGGTTACCTGAAAGCCTCAATAAACTCCGCCATCTCCAGACTTTGAACATAAAAGGTACAGTATTTTTTAGTTGGTCATTTCATCACACATTTTAAACTCACAGTGAACAGTTTGTAAATATCATTGTGTGGAGTCCAACATCATCCATCAGCCTGTCTGTTGTGGGTCAACTTGTTTTTGAACAATTTTTAGATAAGCAAGAGGCTCAAGGTCATGTCATATGGCTAGCAGCATATTAGAATAAAGAGCTATCATGTTTGCTCAATTAAATACTTGACCCATTTTCAAGGTCAGTTGCATCAAAATGTTTAAAAACGTTCATGACATTTGGCTGGAGTGTGCTGTGATGGATATATATACCAGTTTACAGATTTTTCTTAGCACAGAAATTTAACATATTAACAAATTTCCATGGAGATACAAGATTTAATGAAAAATATCAAAGATAAGACCATTATTAATTTGCTGGTGAAATCTGATATCATGTTAATGAAATATTTTTATTTATTTTCATGACTGTTTTTACAGGCAATAAATTCAAGACATTGCCGATGAGCATTTGTGGATTGAAAAGTTTACGACTGCTGGATATATCAGATAACCTCATCACCTCATTACCAAAGGAATTATGTCAAGTTGTAACCTTAGAAACTGTAATTGTGGATGCTGGGAAGATGGTGTATCCTCCATCAGGTATTGAAATTAAAGATTATCATCACACATGTACTTAATCTGCAGTGGAGGCCGTAAATTATCTGATGCAGAAATCATTGTTTAAATGTTCTGTCCATGATGATAATTGTAAGTCGTCAGAATCCAATGATCTGTGACAAAGAATAATAAGATGTGGACTAAGGACTTGTTATTTACATATTTATATATGTTGGTATAAAGTGAATTGGTGTATATCATATACTGTACTTTTGTTTGCTGAATAGGTCGCAAGGTTCTATTACCTTATAATTGTTATCTGGTATTCTGGTTAAAATGATACAATAATAGTGGTAAGCAGAGCTTAATTTCCTATTTATTACTTATATATATATATATATATATATATGTTCACCAGGTATTGCTTAACATAAGGTAAATTGTTACCAGGCTGTATTTCTGTTTGATATGCTCTTTCTATATTCACCGCCCAGACATGAATGAAACGTACAATGGTAATTTTATATTATGGTCTTTTAATTAAAGATTCAAATGTCTTTGAACTGAGCATTTGGATAAGATTATCAGAATAAAATTTGGTGTTTATATAGAATATGTAAATATAATTGATACCCGGTAATGTTAATTGTATGAAGTATGTAAGTACATTATTATTCAATATCAATGGTATGATCCAGTATTGAGTCTGAGCAAACAAATGGTATTTGGATGCATGCTATGTATTTGATAAACATAGCAAAAGTGAACAAATAATAGAGAAGAATATTTATACCGTATTGCATCCTCGGTACTCCAGAGGTTACAATCACTATCTCTTTCTGCACCCCTGTAACATGTCATGGCAATATTGAAGGCACAAGTGAGGTAATTTGAGTGATTCCTGAAGTAAAAACTGACCAATCACAGGCCGATATGCTCCTTTTGAAGATAAGAAAGGAGCAACACCCACTTCAAAGCCATTACAATATACCGTTATGCGACCTCAAGATTCATTTGATGTCCATGAAAGGGTCAAACTAGTCTTTTCACATTGTCCACAAGGTTTTGCACAGGGAACCTTAAATGTATTGTGGTATTTTACATTTCTTTCAGATGTGTGTTGTCAGGGAACTGAAGCCATAATGCAGTTCCTGTGTGATGGTAAGTAGCAGATCGGTTGTTAACCTGTGAGATTTCACACCACTTAGGAAGAGTCAAATATATCAGGGTGAAATCTATGTTGATTTACACTAGTAAATGCTTTCTCTCACTGATTCCTTATTTTGGTGTCTTTCTGGGCATTTTAGAATAACTTGACTTAGTAGGAAATCATGCCAATGTCCAGATAATAGCGTTTCCTTGTTTTGGCCTTTGAGTGATGTCAACTGTAAAAATTGACATCATGGATGTTTGTATCAAATGTGTGTACTAACAGATCAACTTTGTCGGGAATTCCATTCCTCTGTACAGTTTCCTGAAATGAAGCTGAGGTTCATTGAATCTTTCATTTTACACCTGGGAGAATTTCATTTTTTTATGCATATACATGCAGATGTTCAATAGTGTTTAAAGCACAAGATTTACACTTCAGGTCTAGGACATAAACTATACATTTATACAGATATATATCCTAGTATGTGTACTATGTTGATGTTTTTAGAGAGTGGAGTGGAGTATCTGCCACCGTCCAATTTCCTGTTAGGGGTGCTTGATTCTCCTGATGACGCGTCGCCAAACAAACCTAATGCCTCCCTATACCAAACTGCTGCTGAGGAAAAAGCTCTTCTTGTGAGTATTACAAAACGCTCTCTTTGATTTTTTTTCAATGGTGTTGGAGGGTTGTGTGATGAAGATGGTAATAAAAGTTTGGAGAACATGAAATGAAACGTGTCCATCATGGGCAGTCTCAGTCTTGTGTGAATAAACATATTTTGCAAATCCTTACTTTATTGATCAAAATGAAACCATGCTGATATTTTCTTATCATAATTTTCAAAGATTAACAAACCAAGTAATCTGGCCACAATTCTATTAAATATTTTGTCACTGCAGTATTCCATATTTATTATGGATAAAAACAAGGGTTCTATGCCACTGTACTTCAGTAAGTGTTGAAAATTGCAGAATTTTGTTTCCAAGGTTAATAATTCCTACCCCACTGGACAGAAATATTCACACTTCCAGTGAGGGTAAGATATTTATATCTTACCCTGGCAAGACAGCCTACATGTATAGGAAGTGACATTTAAGGTTCATGTAATTGAAATGACATCATTTTCATGACATGTTGGAGTTAATTGGGGTCATTGCCGTCATTAACAATTGTCATCTGAGCCTCAAATGTAAATGACTACAACAATGGTTGTAATGCCACATGTATATTTATTTGCTTATTTATTTTTAAGAGGGGTAGAAAAAGGATCATTCCCTACCTTGTTGGTAGGACAGAGTAATCTCTACCCTCGGGAGAGATTCTTGACAGTCTAACCCTCAGCAAAGTGTTGGGTTAAACAATCAGGAATCTCCTCCTTACGTATGGATTTCTCTGTCCTACCCTTCAGCTAGGGAAAGATTCTTTTAATCTATAGTACCTCACATAAGACAAAGTCAACACTGCAGTTACTACGTGTTTAAACTTCGAATTAAAACAAGGAAACATTGGCATTGAATCTATATGAATCTTATATTCACTGAAGTTTTGTTTTTATTTCATTCCAGAAAACCTTAGAGGAGCAACGCTTACAAACGGTAATGTATTTGCTGATAACATCTAATAACTCTGATGTTTTGTCAATTTGATTAATATTAGACAATACTTCTGGCACAAAACAATTCAGAATACTTGTACCTGGTAAAATTGTCTGTTTCGAGATCAAAGTACAAAATGTAACTTTAGCCCATTGACCTTTCAGTGTTTCTGTGAAATGGTTATGATTTTTGGCTGTGTTTTGTACAGGAGAAGAAACGCCTGGAGAAGATTGAATTGGAGCGTAATTTAGCAGAGAACCAGAGAGAACAGGCTTACCTGGCCAGTCTGGCCCAGTCACGGAAGCAGTCTTTTATTGACACAGTAACTGAGGTTGGTATGAAACATTGTTGTTCAGTGCAACATTGCCAAAGTGATTCATCTCAGAACTTATCACCCCTTGAAACGGAATTAAATGGCTATGTAATGGATGATATCCTCTTTATTTTCCTCTCATTTCCAAATGTCGAACCAATTTTGTGATTAAGATATACTGAAAACTATTCTTGAAAACTGGTCTAATCTCAGCAATCATGACCCGAGTTCCAACAAATGAACCATGAAATCAACACCTGTGGTGACAATCATTAGCCTTGTGCCCCCAGGGCTTACCTGTCATAGGAAGGATTTGTACACGTAACCTATCCTAATAAGGAGGATTGTTATTAACTTTATTTATAATTATCACCAATGAAAATATGAAACCACTTTGAATGCATCCATCTTTTCACCAAAGCAAGTATGGGCAATACATAGGACCAGACAAATAGTCTGGATAACCTGAAGTAATGCTGCATGATCAACTTCCAAAACCTGTTCCTTGAGGAAACAACTTTTTTGATAGAAAGTGTGTGTTGACAGGACCAGAACAAAATTGAGCGTGAATTAGAAGAACTAAGTATGAAGAAGGATGAAGAGCGGAGCCGACTTCTCACAGACCTGAAAATGAGTAAGTATTCTTATTGTTTAGATGTCATGATTAAAGGAGTGGCAACTTCTGAAGAAATGGCTTTGTAGAAATTACAATTAAAAATGATAATACATAGGAGGCAGATGTTAAACTTCTATCTCTTCTGCTTGAGTGATATGCAATGTAAACTGGATCATTGGTGTTTTCTTTCAACATCAACTACATTAGTTTTGTCACCACACCTGATCATGTAGGGATGATATTGATATACACCAGACACTATGAAGATTATTGTTGTTACTCTTTGCTGATTTGTTTGGTTGAAAGTTGAGGAAGGAACCAATGACCTGATTCAAAAGATGCTGGAGATGAATGAGAAAGCAAGGAAAAATGAGGAATTACTGGACCACCTGGAGAATGAAAGGTACATTGTTTTATTTTATGATAATAGGTTAAAATTAATAATTGTTATTAAATGTTTGAAGCTGCAAAATGGTTCCACAGAATGAACTTAACATGTGTAAGGGGTTAAAATTACTGTTAGATAACTGATATTTTCAGATAATTTGTAACGTCTTGATATTCTAACTGTCGGTTAAAGTTCAAATATTGTTTGTACTAGCTGTTTGTAGTGCTTTTATCGTATATATTGTGTACCGCTTTGTGTATATGAACTATTACAATTAAGATATGGAAAAAATTGTGAATGATGCATACTGAACTCAGAGTTTTATGTGATAGGATAGAGAGGGAGGAACTGTTTGTTGTGAGATGGGAGGAGGTGCAGAATTTGAGGAAGAAGGAAGTTCTTGGTAAGTAAATTTTATGTGAACGTTTTGAAATACCTTTCTAATTCAGACATGAATTGTATTGATGCTGAATCTACCAGCTGTACTTGATTTACATAATTTGTTGCAGTAAGATTTTGTGATTTCTTAAAATTTTGTTAATTCTGTTCTGAAAAATAAATGAAATCTTCATACTGTACCAGGTTTGCTAACATAAATCTAAGACCCTTTCACTTATTTCAGATGCAATGAAACACATACTAAACGAGACAGAGGGCTTTGAGAAGTTGCGTAAAGATTACACCAGTAACAAAGAGTTTGCTATGCAGAAGGCACTAGAAGAGTAAGTCATCTACTGTATGATATTGATGGTATATAAAAACTTGTGTTAGCCCTATATTACAGACAGAAATTTGTCTTCTACAGCAATGCCACCTAATCTCCCAGTTATGTAACTTGACACATATAACCTTATATACACAACTTGTTTCCATTTGGATGATTTCCTTATATTTCTGTCCATTCTTTAGGAAAAAGGAGTTTTGATATTGAAGTAGCATTTGTTTTACAGTTCTAGTTTACTACAGGTTACAAAACAAAATTGTCACTGAATCATTAAATTGATGTTTTACTTGTTACCATATTTAAAAACAGTGTGTATTTTGTACATATTGTATCTACAAATGATCTATTCAAAGTATTAGCATTTTGAAATGGAGGAAAGAACAGGGTTTTATGTATTTTATATATTTGAAAATAATACAAAATAAATTTTGATAGCTTTATTGGAGGTTTTCCTTTGAATTTGACAGTGAGACGATGCAAGCAAGTGGACAGGTTGAGAGTATATTGTACCACAGAGAAGTTGGAAACATGATTCTAATAGACATCCTTAAGGAACAGGTATGGCAAATTATTGTTATGGATTATTCGTTAAGAAAATACATCATGCCTGCATGTTATACTGTCTAGTGGTTTTAGTTGTCTCCCTTGATTAAGTTTAAAGTTTATGTTACTTGATACATTGATAATGTTGTTTCGGTTCCCTTCACAGGAACAACTACAGCGTGAGGCATTTGAGGTCCTTCAGCTCCAGAAGGACACTAAACACCAAAGGATTAGTGGTCAGATAGCACTTATACAGGAGGAGCTGATGAGTCTGACGGCTGTGGAAATGGAGAAACGCTCTATGCGAATGGAGGAAGAAATTGTATGTATATATATGTATGATATAATGGGGAAGAATAAAAATATACTTTACTTCGAAAAAATTGCAAATAGATAAATGCATTACAGTTTACGATATACTTTACAAAGCACTTGTATAATGTGATAAAATGTATAATATTCTGACGAATGTTATTTTCTTCACAAACTCAGTCTTAGGATGAAAATTTAATTAATTCTCTCAAACATTTTGTAAATGTATCAGTGTGTACTGTGTGGTGGTTACAGAATATAGTGGCGGAGAAGAGGATTGCCTTGATAGAATTATTGTCACAGCTCATGCTGGAACAGGAGAAACGACAGGAAGTGCTGAAGAAACGTTTGGTGAGTATCTCTCCATCACTTCTGACTTTCAAAGATTAATGACAAATTAATGATTAATGATATTTGTATATCATTTACCTCAGCCCAATAGAAATTATTGCATCCCACTCATTAGAATAAGAGCTGAATCAGAGTTTAATATTTAACAGAATTTTCATTGTTTCAAAAACAAAATAAATACTAAATGTGTTAATATAAATGTCAGTGAATGAAACAGCTAAACAGTTTGGCTCTAAACATTAACTGTGTAATACTAGCATTCAAATGATGTATGTACCTGATCACTGCTCTATAAGTAACATTTTAAATCAAGAACAGTTGAAAAATCCCATTAAATTTTCTTTTTCTTGAGTAGGGTTTGCATTTGCTACCATGACTTCACATTGTAAAGGGCATGCAAAGTCATATGCATTAAAAGTCTTGGATTAGTATCAAAATATCAAACCAGAGTGATGGAACCAGTTAAGACCCATTTTATTGCAACAGTAACATAGATATATGAGAATCTCTTAAACAGAGTTCTTGGGTTGTGGTAGTGCCAAACTTGTGGTGCCTGATTTCATTTAATGTTCCCGATGCATGTATTTGGTATAAAAAATGTAATAATAGTTGTATTATTTGTGAGCAGAAAGAGATGGAACAGCAGAAGTTGGATGGACAGACAGACTACTGGTTGGTGCAATATCAGAGACTCATGGATAAGAAACCTCAGGCACTTATAGATCAGGTATGGCTTTTCTATGTAGTCAATACTCTTATGAGATTTTAAACTTCTACCAATTTGTTTTAATTACCCACTTGACCATTGAAAATTAATATTGCTATCACGTTTTTACAAGGAATGTAGTCTAATGAGTGATATTTGAACAATCACTATTTTATATTTTGCTAACTTTTGGCATTAAAATCAATAACTCTTAATGTTTGGTTTTTTCTGAAATTAGAGATAATTTTGATTCCTCTTCAATATTAACCTTTAAAGTATTTTGCGATAAATATGAAATGTATTCAATTTCTATCAACAAATTCAAATAAGTTGGATCAGATAGAGCCTTGGCAGTCTTGTTTAAGGTAAAGATGTTTTACACAGTGAAGCCCTACCAGAGGGTTATTTTGAATGATGTCTGATATCTCTATAGGTCTTTCTGACCACTGCAATCTCACAGGTTGATGGGATTGGATTACTGGGTAATTGCGGAGCCTGAGTAGTTTGGTTTTGTTTTGTTTCATGTATAAATCTGTTCTTTCTTTGATTATCAGGAGCGACAACTAGAAATCGCTGTAGTGACCATTCTGGAGGACTCCTCTGCTGGTGACTATATCCCTCTGTTTGCTCGCCATAGAATTACCATAGAAACACTCATGCAACTCTCAGAAGATGACCTCAAACAGGTTAGTGGCAGGGATAGTTTTAATGAAAAATAACATTACTAGTGGAAAAATTTATTGAAATACATTATACTCGGGTCTGTGTTAATATCTTACTAAAATTTGATGTAGAAGATCAGTCAAGGTATCTTGTAGCTGAAGGACCTAAATGTTACAGTTGATTTGTTTTCATCCGTTATATAATTGACTGTCCAGTTTCAATTACTGAATGAATAGATAAGTATTACAAATATCTGTCATGTTGTGCTAGTGAACGTTAAATCTGATAACTCTAACACTCAATAATTGTATTAGTATCCTATGTGAGGTAAGATGAGTCATAATGAGACATATTATTTAAAGTGCCTACTGTTTATATTGTGTAACAGATGGGAGTGCATGAAATGGGGCTGAGGAAGTCAATCCTACGCAACCTTGATCACTATAGAGAGAAAAAGGTCCAACCACGTTCGAAAGATTCAGAGACTGGGGCATGGGACTCCTTCTTGGAATCTAAGATACAACAAGATAATGATGGTGAAAGTGATTTACCAGCACCATCAGCACCGCCAGTGGAACCATGTACTAGACAGTCCTCAGTCCTCGCCAGGGGAGTTAACTCTGAATGTGTCGTGTGCATGGATCAACCTGTGAGTATTTGCTTCAATCTATATTCCTTCATTCTGGAATATAGAATGGTACATTCCATGTTTGATTATGCTACATCCTGCCAGTAAATATTGTGTTCCATACATTAGAAATTATGAAATATTTAAATGATAAACTGTAATAACAGTTAATTTTACCTACTTGAGGTTTTGATTAAACTGCCTGTCTCGGACATTTTCTAGTCTCATTGATCTCTTCTCTTTGACATAGAAGCCTGTAATTAATTGTGATATTAGGTTGGTAGTGTGAATGAAAGCTATCATGATTTTTCAGTATTCAATGACCTCGACAAACTTTAAAGTTTATAGAGATCAGGTGTTAGTAACCTAGTAATGTGCTGTTTCATGGTTGGAGCCAGATGTATTTGGAGTCAGTAAATAACATCTTCTGCATAAGGAACAGCCCCAGGGACATAATGAATTCATGACATATCAAATTTTGGATCCAGTGTCCCGTGCAGAAAAAAGTTCTGTTTTTGCAAAATTGAAATAGATTTCAATCACAAAATCTTCTAACAAATGTATTTGTGTTGATGTGCTTTGGTCTTTACCCACATTGAATATCACTAGAGATTATAAACAGGAGGCAGATCAAACTTTAATAGATAATTAATTTCATGAGTTGAATGCATTAATTGGTCAAGTTTTTATACTGACTTTTCCAGACTACACAAGTGGGTTTTTTCACATTCTGACTATCAAATGAAATCTATAAGTATGAGAATAAGTTTTTTGACGAAGGTTTGAGGCAACTTTACCCTGTTGTAATTTTTCATGAGTAGCAGTGTAATGGTTGATAAGCTTGAATATTGTTTCTGTTTTCTGGTTTTTTATTTTATAACATCATCGACATTAGTATATTTGTTATAAGGTAGGGGTATATTACTTGTAAAAAATCATCGGTAATAGCGGGTATCTATGGTCAAATTAAGGTACAACAAGTATCCAAAATGTACCTTGAAGATGCTTGCAAATAATCCCTTTTCTCCTTTTGGTATTTTCATGGGGGAGGGGGCTTACTTATGGATATAACTTTCCAGTTTATGGGAAAGTAAAATGTTTTATTTTAAATAATCAAGCATCTGTAAAAACGTTTCAGAAATTGTAATGCTTAATACGGCTGCTAAAAAGGATATAATGATGTTTGCATTTGAGAACTATTTTAATATCTTTCTTGTTTTTATTTCCTTCACTTTATATACTTCTACACATATATCCAACAAACCTGACAACATGACTTTCAAAGAATATGTGATAATTTGTTTAACTGTTTAACTTTTTCAGACTGATGTGATATTCCTGAACTGCGGGCATGTGTGTACTTGTAAAGATTGTTCTGTGAAGGTACAGGATTGTCCTTTGTGTCGAGAGCCAATCATCCAGCGAATCAAACTCATGATTTCTTCTTCGTGACAGAAAATGAAGATATCTCGTTAAACATGGTTATATGGGACATAGAATGATCGTTTCATTAGGCTTATAGATACTTCTATACAACACAACAAAAACAGACCCAACAAAATGAAACAAAGGATTAATATTCGGGGTAAATATATATATTATATTTATGTAAATTTATCTGTTATTAATGATGTTTATGAATTGGTTATTTCATGATGACACATTTAAAAGTAGACAAACAATATTCGTTTGTCCAACTGCAAGGTTTCAAAATTCCATTGTGATATTTAATGTCATATAATTGATCTGTTGATGGAAGCTTAATTTAAAACACATTAATATACATGAATAGAAAACCAGAAATTAATTCTTAAAATTAAATCTATTTAATGTCTATTTATATGGTATATCTAATTTTTTTTTTCATTAGATGTATTATTTAATTTTTTAGCATGTTTATAAATGTTGGTATAGAAAAAGTGTGACAACATAATCTATTGATTCATTTAGCAATGAAGGTGTTATTTGCTGTTACAGAAATAAACATCTATTGTTTTTATTATCTGTGTTTTAAATCTTTTATGCTCAATCTGTCTGTTAACAAAAGTGTCCAAATACTCAAGATATTCATGTAGTACCTGTGGAAATTTGATGAAAATATATAGGGTTATCAAATCAAAGTTTGTGTCACATAAATGTTTTGTATTAGGTTTTGTGATATTCAATGGGTGGAGCATGACTTCAATTCATTGTATATGAATGATAACATTTGATGGAGTTGATACTCCCAGCAGAATTAAACATCCAACGAATAGTACTGAAGTGATTGTTACCTTTGAAGTGCCACCTAATCTATACAGGACTTTGGTGGAAGAAGGAGGAAGAAAAGTAGTGTTGTTAATAAATTGACTCATAAAGGCCGGACGGACATGATTACATGAACAAAAATTCTGATACATGTAATTACCATTATGTGAGAGCAGTATCTTTGGACACATGTTTATGTGCAATAATATAATGAAACCACAACTAAGGAGCCTTTCTATTGGATATTAATCAAAGGATGTGATCGGAACAATAACTAGGCATGTTAATTATGTACTGGAGTGACAATGACGTCTGAAGGAGGATCTATGTAATACGATAAGTATTATGTGTGTTGTGTAATGCAAGCTTATTCATAATGTAGAAGTCAGAGTACCATTCAGTACCAGTACAGCTAAGATAAATAGCATACACGGTATTAGAGAGGTTGTGGTAAGATATTCTGTCATTCTGTTAATTTATGTTGTAAATTCAATTCTCTTCTTGCCCTGTAAAAGTGACATTTTTTTCATATCAACACTGTGTATCCAGAGATCCTTACCCTGCAGATTTTACTGTTGTACATTGTGTTTATCATTCAGACAGGCATGAGTTTCTCTACACATTTTTTGTAACTCTTTTAATCATCAGAAGGCTTCTTAAGTGCTAGACATTATCAATGTTAAGCTCAAAACCAGTTGTTCATATTTATATTTTGTCAATTTTGTAGAGAAGGGATTTGATTTGGAATAGATGTAACCCCTTTTCTTTTGTACATAAAGGTCATCAAATATCACGTACATTGTGTGATGTATTCTCTACAGTATGATGCTCTTTACCTAGTGCTGACATTTTCTTTGTTCATGCTTCATAAAATATCAAATTCAAGTGTTTGAATAAAGACAAAAGTGGATATAAACCACTGGTTTCTACTGAATTAAAGATTCAAACCTATATTTATATTTTGTATGATTTATTCTACATACTACACACATATATCAAGTATGTGATTAATGTTTGTAAACTAGTATATATAATTATTAGTCCCTTTTCAATTAATATTGCTTGTGGCTGGTTAGTTCTGATCTGATAATCCATTGCTTATTATGACCTCATCAACTATTGATGTTTGTAATATGAATGGACATATTTTGTGATAACAGTATCCAGTGATTGACAGAATTCATTGTAAAGTGTTTATTTCTTGTTTTAATCTGCTGTCATTGTTACCATGGCATCAAATTATACAGCACCTTGTACTCCAGGCAATGTTGTCTTACATATAAGGGAAAGTTATCGATTCTTTGGAGAACTGGCATCTAAATCTCAGTAAGAGCATTAACAATTTCAGTTTGTTTTTATGGGGTTTTTTTTCAAACACATCTGGGTTTTCCAAAATTCAGAAGCTTCTGTATGGTTTAGACTCCTGTCAGTAGACATTTGAACTATTGAGTCGTTTGTTTCCCACAAAGATTGCTGAGTTTAGTGGAATAAATCATTACTGAATTGTGGTAGAATATGTTACCTGTATAAGAATAATACAAAGTTACGTACAAATACATTTGGAGTAAGTAGCTTCACCACTAAAGAGTTGAAAGGTGGCCTGTTAAAGAATTACTGTAATTATTGTTATGTAGGTCCTGCAATCAATTCATTTTTGTGCATTCATGTTGATGGTGAACGTGTTAAGTGATTTTACTTTAAAAATTTGAATGGACTATTCAACTTATCTGCTATGTTCATCCATCCTAAATTTACGTATTCTGGTTTTTCTGAGAAAGATCAAGTAGAAACCAATAAACACATCTGCATGAACAACAGCTTTTGTTTGCTAGGTTTATTGCCCTATAAACAGCAAAGGTCAATTTGAAACAGGGTCTGCATGTACAAGCTGGTGGGTAGCTCACTGGAGGGAGGCCCATTCCATGCCGTCCAGAGCAATTAGGGTAACATGTCTTCTCCAAGGACTCAACCATGTCAGTACAGACTGGTCCGTTTCACAGCTTCCAGAGAAACACAAACAGCCATAGGGAGGAAGTGTCAAACCATGCACCTTAGATCTTCATCCAGGGTTATGTAGGCCAATGCCCTGACAGTTGTTGCAACTTTGTACAAGAGCTGCTATTGTCAACCCTAGCAACAGGCCACATTTATTTTCCATTGGGCTGGCTGTTATAGATGCATAATAAAATATGCAAGTAAGTTTATGAGATATGGATGTAGCAGCTGGCCCATTGGAAATAAATTATTATGGTAACTGGTATTTAGATTTATGGAAAAATGTGCAAAAAATATATTTTTTAAACGATCAGACTTAAAAAATTAGATTTCAAATGTTTCAAATTCAATCTGAATGTGTTAAGCTACATTTGCACCAAATAATGTCTTTAAAATATCCAGTTTTCAAAACGTGATCTGTTCATTAGGTACCTGGTTTTCAGTTACTTGGCGTCCTTCAAGCCTACACAAATAGAAACCTTGTTAAAGAGAGTGTTTGTTATTCACCTGTTCATGTAATATTTTTTTTGAATTTGTGTTTGTTCAAGCTTCTAGCTATCAAAAGCATTCTTTTAATATGGGTCTCATTATTTAGGTAAAATTCAAATCAGATAAACAATATATCTTTTAGTGTCATTTCGTTTGGTGATAATCTGATATAAGGTACAATTCATATGAATGTCGGATGTGAACATGTAGTATTTATACTTTAGAATTAAAATTAGATTTACCAGCCTAATACCTCAAAGCCTAGCATATCTGTTCATTGGGTACCCTGCTCCTGACATTTCTGTAACCAAAATTGTACAATTATTGGTGTTTTATATATACAGGAAGGTTTTTGCATGTTTATTGATTTGTAATACAATTATAGTCTGTTGGTGTGTACATGTCTGTTTCACTGTTAGAACAAGTATCTGGTTTTTTTCTGTGATAACTAGTGGACACTCGAGGCCAATCATATAATTAGCTGTAAAGGAAGAATGATGATAATGTCAGTCTAATCATACAAGTCCAAACAGCACAGATCTTATATTTGTTGTTCCCCCTGATCATTTATACACTTGATAACTGATAATGTAGTGTCTAATTAAATGAATTTTATAATTTTCATATGTAGGTGTTGTCAATTATATAACTTTGTTGTCAGTTGTGTCATTCAGTTATTAGACCCAGTTTATTGTAGAGTGTGGAAAGATATTTTTATCTTTTCAAAAACTGTTCAAAAACCATTCTTTTTCTTATCAGAGTTATCTGAATTGTTTCTAGGTATTCAAATTATTTTCTTTGTTGTTCCTCCATTACAAAAAAAAAATCCCTCCTCTCTCCTGCTTTTTTTCCCCCAAATTGAAATGATGAAACAGTTAGTTTAGTGTCTTGTATCACTTTTAAAACAGATTTTTCAGTCTGTTCAATTTCCCCCTCCCTTTTTTCCCTTCCTTGATTCACAATGACTCACCTTTACATAGTAAGAACAAGTTTAGTGATTCAGTGATTATATGCATGTTAATACCAACATCAGGGTCATGGCATTTGATAATTCTGCTTACAGTGTTTACATTGTTGTGAGTGTCACTAATATATTGTATTACACAAATATATATGTAAATCTCTGTCAAAGATTAAATCATATTAAATTCTTTTAAGTAAGTGATTATTTACTATGTTGATGATGATGAAATGTCTTTCTTGTGTCGGTGTACTGTACTTGACTTGATTAGTGCCCCATCTTCCATCAGTTCTACTTTACACAAGCCAATTATTGGCAATGGACAGTTTATATATCCGTTGATTTTCGCATTTCTATTAGATATAGATAGCATGTAACTTCATGAATACCCATGGTCATACTAAGATCATCACCAGAGAAAGACAAATGGATTTATTTATCCAAGACTACCAGGATCTATTTTTGATATCCTGACTCATAAACCTCCGTAATAGAGATGATGCAATGACAACTGATATAAACAGTCTTCACTAGGGTGTTACTTTGACAGTATAACAGGAAAAAGAAAATGTCATGAAATTCCTGAAAGAAATAAAAGAAACCTTCATAATTTATCAAAGAAATTAGATGATATCACTACTTATATCCATCTTTCAGATCATCACAATAGTGGTTCATCTGTTATCTTGATTGATACATCTGTATTTTAATGTTTGCTGCCTTTCATTCTGAACTATTTAATCACTCAGGGCGCTAATTACGTCTATTATGGTACAAAGACTTTTGCTATACTATACACAACTATATATATAATTATTGTTAACATATACGACTTCGTAATTTCTACCAAAATTAAATTTCCTTCATTGATCAAATGTGTAGTCTTTGGTTTCTCTTAATCTCAATTTTGAATGACAAGTTGAATTACCATTTATAAGATATGTATATATGACAGATTTCTTAATAGCACCATTTAGATCAAGAAATACATGTCAGTTTATGTTGAAATGTCTTTAAAGCCCCCATTACAGAGGTGACATGTCAGAATGAAAGTTGATCAAGGCCTCTGAAAATGCGAGATATAAACAAAGCTATGCTCTCATTCATTTTCTTATGATCTAAGTCTGTTGAGAGGTTAATCTACTAAGGGGTTCAGGAGATTTCTATAACGCCATTTTATTTCAGAAGTGGTCAATAGTAACCTATGACCTTAAATTTTGAATTTGAATTAAAACTGTCAAGATATCTCCTCTACTATCTTTTTATTTCAAAAGTGCGGCCAAGGATTACCTTTGATCTTTAACCTTTAACCTTGACTGATGAACACTAAAATCCTATCTGGTGCAAATCATGGTGGGAAGAAGCTAAGGTGTGAATATAAGTAAAACTGTGATGGGGTTCACGAGACCTTTTGCTCAAGGCTTTTATTTGGTCAAATGGTCAAGGGTAATCTCTGACCTGTGACCTTGACTGATGACCATCATATACTAATCAGGTGTAGACTGGTGGAGTGATGCTCTATCTTTTATATTAATTAAATCTGTCCTGTAGTTCATGAAATATCTTGTGCACAGATGTTTTATTTTAAAATGGTCAGTTTGACCTTGACCAATGACCACTGAAATCTAGTCATATGTAGATCTTGGTGGGATGAAGTTTTGGTGTGAATATGAAGTCAATTTACCAAGGGGTTTATGAGATATAATGTACATTAGGTTATTGTGAATCGAGATGCGGGTGCATGGTCCAAGTGATTACAATACTAGTATAACCTCTTCTCCCAAATTATAACCCAAGTGTGGGTGGTGTGAAATTGAATGTCAGATCTATAAAGCGTGTTGTTAGTCAGGTTTATCCAATGAACTATGTATTGAACCAAGGCTGCAAGAGTGACCCACAGCACACGACAATGTGTATAGGTAAACACATGATGCTCAGTTACTTGGCTACCTGAAATATCCCACAGGTCTCCATTTATTTCATTTGTACAACACTCCATAATACTTAAAATGAAGTATATCTGATAAGGTGATGCATTATGAACCGTAATGAAATAAAGAACATGTAAATCATGAGAGCAATCCTCTAACAATCCTCATTTGCTTTGAATCAGTTTAGATTTACCTTTATATTTATTCTCTTCTGCATGTACAATCAAACGTCCGAAGTTTATTTTCTTAAATAATCCCAACATGGGTTTTATTATGACCTAAAATTATCACTGGCTATAAAGACAAGAGTATCAGTGAAACTGATGAATGCTCCCCAAAACGACTTAATTGGACTCAAAATTTTAATATAGGACAATAATTCTGTAATTAAGAAGTTGTTGGCCCTAACATTGGTTTATTGCACAATTTTATGGTATGACCAATGTATACACCAATTTTGATTATCCTAGTTTTAATGCAAGAAAATGCAATGCTCACGATATAAAAGTTAAACAAAGGGAAGTAACTTTGTACTGAGGCCTAATGGGCACTGACTTTCTACACTGCACCTTGCTTTTGTATGACTGATTTATACATCATGTTTCAATACCGTATTTCAAATGCAGGCAAAGTAATGCACTGGCCACAAAATTTTAATAAAGGGTAATAATGCTAATTAAGGGGTAGTGGGCCCTAACATTTTTACACTGCAGATTGTCTTCACTTGATCAATGTAAACACCAAGTTTCATTATCCTACCTTAAATACATTGTACAGGCAAAGTTATGCTTTAGAAAATATATTTCTAACAAAGGGCCATATCTCTGTAATTGAAGGGTCAGTGGAATTGAATTTGGTACACAGCACTTTATCTTAGTATGATCAATTTATACAGTAAGTGATGCGATTCTTGCTTAACTATTGGCAAAGCTATGCTCTGGACAAGAAATTTCAAACAAAGGTCAATAACTTTGTGATTGAGAGGTCACAGGCCCTAAACTTGGTACATTACACATTGTCTTATGTATCTGCCAAGTTTCATTATCCTTGTTTAAATGCAAGCAATTTAAAGTTGTGATATAGACAAAAAAATTAACAAAGGCCAGTAACTCTGAAATCAATTGGTTGTGGGGCCTTAATGTGGTACACTGCACTGTCTTTATCTTATCAATGTATACACCAAGTTTCATTATCCTAACTTCAATGCAAGCATAGTAATGTTCTGGACACAAAATTTTATCAAAGGGCAGTAACTCTGTCACTGAGGGTTAAGGGCCCTGAATTTGGTACACTGCACATCTCCTTAGTATGACCAATGCTTATATTAAATTCAAAAATTAAAAAAAGTTGTGCTATGGACACACAAGGTGGTGAATATATTGCTCTCCCGAAAAATTTCTTGAACGTCATTTTAAGGCAGGGTAAGGTGGTGGCTACTTCACAGATCAATATATGGAGGGCCCATCACATGCCATTCAGAGAAATTTCGATCAAGTGTTATACCCAAGGACTCAACCAGACCAGTCCATTTCTTGACTTCCCATGAAACACAAACTGCCACGATTCATAAGCGTCACACCATGCACCTCAGATCTTCACCCGACTTCATATAGCCAATGCTCCAACCAAGTTATCGAGGCCAAACACAAAGGGGATAATTAATGCCAAAATTCATTTCCTCTGAATTAGGATGACCACAAACTTTAATACTACCAAAAGCCATCTTGGAAACAAATATTATTCTGAAAGGAATAGATGTAAACATCTACTTATCTCAGGACACAATGTGCCTTTGTAATATAATTATTCTTCAAAGCATGTTTTTGTCCAGTTAGTTGACATTTTCTTTGCGGACAGATAAACAGGCTGTTATCTATATGGTAGTGATGCTATATACCGTCAGTCTGTAATTTGAGAGGAGATACAAAAGTAACAGCAACAAGTGATCAAGGAAAACAGTTTTAATTACAAGGGAGCACTCGTAATAAACAGAGATAAATACATAGAGAATACAGTGTTTCTACATAGTGAAACACTTCTCAATAGAAAACTTGATATCACCTTACTGCATGGTGCAAGTATCCAATTTAGTATGTTTTTTGTTTTCTTCATCAAAAAGTAATATGAATGAATTCCATAGTGAAATGGTATTTTATCTAAAGTACTATCAATTCAAAAATGTTTGCAAATGTTACAAAATGACATCATAGTTTAAAAACAACTAAAGTGTTTCTGATGCTAGTAAGTGGTTTGTATAAATCAGCATATTATAAAAGCCATATTTCCATTAGGAAAAAATGTAATAACATAGCATTAATTGATACCAAAGTCTGATGCAGACATTCATTAATATATATATTTATTGAAACATGTACTGTTTGTTACTATTATTAAATGCAGGCAAAGCAATGTCCTTGTATCGTCTACAAATACAACAGTTAATATTCTGAATACTTATCCACAAAAAAGGCATAAAAGATTATAAATGATTGCTTTTCAAATGCAACAGTCTTATACGTTATCCAATACTTAGTTCATACATTACTGTAACAGCGCTTTTTAGTTTTTGAAAAGTAAATTCAAAGATGATTTCTTATTAAAATTTGCACTTTGAAGAAATGAGGTTCTGAAGAATACAATATGCTGTTTAATACATATATATATACATACACATGTTAAAATATGGACAAACTTAAACATATCCATATGTCTATAATGTCACAATTCAAAAAACCTGGTTTTGTATCCATTCAAAAGCAGATCAAACCAATGGCAGGCTGATCCATAGATAACCTGATTAAATCAGCTGTTGCTGTATTCATCACCCCATGAACAACCATGGTCGTTTTGAGGCAGGTCTCCTTGCAGTAGCTGGTGGCTACCTCACTGAACAAATAAGAAACTCATCCCAAGCCATCCAGAACAATAAGGGTGAAGTGTCTTTCCTAAAAACTCACCCACATCGGCACATACCGGTCAAATTCTCAGTTAAAAAAGAAAAAAAAAACAACTCATCAGTAAGAGGCGTCAAACCATGCACCTCGGATCTTCACATGAGGTTACATAGGCCAACACTACTGACAGAGATATCATGGCCTCTTGAATAATGTGTCAATAACCTATAATATTGTGAGTCGTTGAAGAACTTGGAAAAACTTGGTATACCTTCAGTAGTGTTCTCACAAAGATTAGAACTCTCAACAAACAAAGCCAAATTGAATATGGAAAATTGAATGGATACAGAAGCAGATCTTTAGTCTGATGACAAGCCATTTTGTACAAATAATTCCGAGCTTTCAAGTGATTCACTTTTTACTTTAGCCCTCTAATAAACATGGACTACAACTCCACTATCATAAAAATGTTCCAACATTATGTCATACAAGGCTAAGAGTAAGTTGGTCTTACTGTACTTCTTTTCCCTAATACATATTAAACATGTATTATTCAATAACAATCACCTTTCTTGAAAGTCAGCCTATCTCAGTATGGTATTGATCAGTATTTCTTAATTTTCTCTGATCGTTTTAGGATTACTAGGTAACAAAGGTTCATTTCTACCGGCTACCTATACTTAACATTTAAGGATGTACTCTAGAAGTGAAAAAATTCCAGTATTTAACTGGTGATGATTTTTTGAAAGGTTAGATTTAAAAAAGTAATTTAAAAGCAAAAACTTACTATTTTGCTGCACTTCTTTTTCTGATGCAGGCATTAGAATATGTGTTATAGGAAAAATTTCATTTTCACAAAGTGTACTTCATTTATCCTTAATAAAAGACATTATTTTTGAAGCAATTTTTTTTTCCAAAATAAATATTCATATTTGATTTTAATAGTATGATACTTTGATATCATGAAATCAACAATGTGAAGATTTTCATTTTTTTTAATCAACAAGCTTAAATCTGCATTATAACCAAAAAATTAAAATTTTGAAAACAAAATTCATATCAAATGGACACAGCAGTAATCCAATCCAATCCCCTACATTTTATACACTGAAATTTGTTTCATTAACTTGGATCAATACCATACACTTTGGTACACCTTAATCACATTTCCAATCACTCAGTAATTTAAGGGAAAACTAAACAGTATACTTGTGGTGAAATACAAAAAGTAAATCTCTACACAAAATGCATAAAAAAGCTTAATATGGAAAAACATTAAAAAGCGTGATTCCTTGGCAGATGTGCATATTAATGTATGAAGGCTAGTGCTACCAGCTGCAAAACTTAGGGTTCCATAACTAGACTGTTAGCAATAGCTTCTATATAAATGTCTCTGGTAATAAATTCATTGGGTACAAAGTAATGTGTGATGCTATATATACACAAATCATACAAAAATTATGTGACAGCTATGTCACTAGTTCCTTATTCTTGTCATAGGGCATGAAATCGAACATTCCAAATAGTAAAAACGCAACATGCATTATAAGCTTATTTGACAACAATCTGTCAAAACAGTTGTGATACACAACCTGATATTCAAGTGAACTCAGTGTAATTAACAAAATATAAAATAGAAATTTAGAGAATTTCAGCCCACAGAATTAAACACAATTTTTTCCACATAAGCATAACTTAAAATTTTTTCATCCTTTTTTCATGATCATTGAAAAACATTCACAAAGACAAAATTCAACCTTTTTTCCTTCAACTCAATTCATATAAAATGTAATAAGTCTATGTTAATACACTTCTTAGAAAAATAATACAAATACTTTTACACGTGTCTCTAAGTGAACTAGTGTTGTAATTAAATTTGTGATTAATACGCAGATTGAACCCACTGTCTGTGCAAGGTGGACAAATCATGATAACTTCCATCACAAAGAGAGACAGACTCGAACTCGTCTATCCAAAGAATAGCATATCAGACATTGCAACAGAGATGATCTACTGATTTATAAAATTAGTCTGTTCATCATACTGTACAAAGTGCTAGTGTTGTGAAGTTCATTTCTATATGATTTGTTAAGTCTATTAGTTCCACTCTAATCTTTGCCATATGACAAGGGAAATCAAACATTCAGAAACTCTTCAAGCATCAAGCACAGTCGTGAAAAATCTTTAAAATAAAAACGTTACCACATATTTCTATTTGCCAAGACTAAATGCAAATAATTCAATAAAGTTTGAAAACAGCGAAAAGTAATACACAAATATATCAAACCTCATTAACAAAAATAACAAGATATTGTTTATTCCATAAACTCATTCTACCCCTAAAATTAGATATAATAACAGTTAATCACTTTGTGTATCATTCTACCCCTAAAGGTAGATATGACAACAATAAATCACTTTGTGTATCATTCTACCCCTAAAGGTAGATATGACAACAATAAATCACTTTGTGTATCATTCTAACCTTAAATGTAGATATGATAACAGTTACTCAGTTCAGGTAAGTACAGACAAGGAGAATGTTTATCACATCAACACATCCTTGTGATAAAAGATTTTTCTCCTATAATTTCAAAGCAATTCACAGTTATTGATATCTCACATGAGTCAAAATGTTTTATCAATTATTCTAACAACATATCAACATGACACACCAATACACAATAATGGGGTCTATAATGACATTTATCTTGTAACAACCCTTATATTATCTTCATATTCATAAGCGTTTCTCCTCATTCAGCTTACTTCATTCGGGGTTAGTGGCCACACAGCACACAGTTTAATTCTGTAAAGAACAAAAGTCTTTCTAATACATCTAAAACACTCCGAATACATTATAAAACTCTATGAACTGTAAATGATTGGAACCTTACTCAATATTAAATAATTCAGTAATTGTTCTCTTCTCATGCATGTAATGATATAACAAAAAATATAATCATTCCTAAAGAAAGTAGAATTTTCAATAATTTGCTCAATTTCCCCTACTGGGCCCAACAACTCCTGCCCTAAAGGGCTGGGACCCACCATTACTAGAAACCTGATTCCCTTTCACCCAACAAGGCTTCGGACCAACTTTACACAAAATCCAAATCATTCCCACTGAAGGATTTTAAAGAGTTTGCACTTGTTCTCCCTATTTGGCTCTGCTCTTCCCCCTGCAATATCTTTACCAACCTGATTCCATTTGACCATGTTCTCCGCTGAAAGCCAAAAGACAGTAATGGAGGACCTAAAACCTGTTTAATAAACCAACCATCCTTCAGACAACATTTGGGCAAAATCCAATCATTCATACAGGAGGTGTAGGATTTTGAAGAAATTGCTCCAATTCCCCTTTTGGGCCCTGCCCCAATGGGCTGAGACCCACCATTTATAAAAAATTGGCCCCCTTCTCCCAAGGATGCTTCACATTTATAATCATATTATCATGGACACATTTTTCCCGCAATTGCCATTACATGAAATGATCAGTACTTTCTTGCCTTACTTGGACGCATCTAAACAAGTAGTCATGATTTTGGGCAATGGAAACTCTGATATTTCAAAATTCAATTTATTTTCACAAGTATACATTTGTATAATTTGAAAAGTTCAACAATTCTAATTTTGTGTCAACTGACTGAAGGCTTTCTGCAAATCATTGTTAAGAAGATCCCGGTGAAAAACTTATTATCAAGTGAGTGAACAAGAAAACCCCATGAATGAACATTCCCGAAGTAGCCAATAATATACAGACATTCTCATGTACACTTACAGGCAACAAAAAGGAGTAACTCAGGCCTGTAAGTTTGCACTGCTTGGGATTTCCCCACCAAAGACATCCTTTAGGAGCTGTTCTTCCTGTTGGGTGAGTGGCCCACTAGGTTTGTCCACTCCGATTGGTACATGCTTTAACAGTTCTCGCAAGTCATCCATTGTCTGTGATACAATGAAAAAGCATATACCAAAATGTGTAACCTAAATCTAAGATATAACTGAAGCGAGAAACACAATACACATAGTTACTTTCTTAAAACCAATGATCCTTCGAGGTATCTCATCGGCAGTCATTGTGTAAACACAATTTATCTTAGCTTCACAGCAAACCCTATGTATAACAGTGCTTTTTAATGGCAATAAATTACCATTCCTACCCATATGGCCTTTGAAGAAAAGATTGTAAGAAAATATTAATATACTGTCAGATCATGGTTTATGCATAGACACTGTTCCACACTATCTATACAAACATATACTGCATAAAGCTGTTGCCTACCTAGTGTGATACATGCAAGAGAAGTTTACCTGTCCACGTGTGTATGCAGCCTTGAGAAGTTCAAAACTGCTCCAGATGCCTGGAGGGTTGTGAGGACTGTCCGTCTTTACAGGGACAGCAACAGGTACTGGGACAACTACCTCAACAGCTGGATGAATGTCAGGCTTTATGATTGGAGCTTCTGCAACTGGTTGTGGCACAGTTTTCTCAGTTTGCTGAAAACATAAAATCATTCTGTAACTCATGATAGTATCTGCGAAAAATAGCCAGATGTGCAACACAAAATTTGAGATGTAGTTTAGGCTGTGATTGTCACTTTCAAGGTGAGGTTATCATTTGTAAACTAAGGACCCAGGGTCTTTAAGTCAATGTGTATTTCTATCAATCATGAGAAACCTTCATGTTTTATTTGCAAAGATGCCTCCAGTACTTCCTGAAGAGTGAAAACTAACAACATAATTGAAACCTGTTGGCAGTCTTGATATCTGATTAACCCCAAAATGAAAATAGGCACAACTAGCAATCATTGAGAATTTACTTGGCAATTTTGTCTGTAAGCAAGGTTTTGTGGTCCTAACATATAGGAATTTACATTGTGAGGGACAAGACCTTTGAAATGTGAATGTTTGGCATTTATTAAACCCTAGTTAGAAACCAGTCATGTCTTATCAAAGCAGACAGGATTATCGTACCAGTGATATCTGCAACTCTACAGCTTTTAGCTCACAAGCCAAAAACTCATTCTCTGTATCAGCCTTGAGAGCTTGTTGTTCTAGTCGACTCAGCTCTCTTTGTACACAGTTCTCCAACTCACTGGGCCTGCAACATACCAACACCATTACAGTGGTTACAAAGGGCATATGAACATAATTATACAGAGGATCTTACCTGTGTTTCCAGTTATATGAAATTTATGAAATGAGTCCTAGAATTTTTCATTTTATCAAGCCTATAGCAAGATAAAATGATAAGGTTGTGACAAAGTTCACAAATCTCATATATGAAAATAAATCAATTTAACATTTTGTTCATCACATAATTTGAAATACTTTAGCAACATCCCTGAAAGCAGCATTTCCTTAAGCTGATATAAAATCTACTGACAATACTCTCACTAGTTATCTCATTTCTTTTCCAATCACAACTCTGCTACATTTTTTAACTGATAGTATTTGTGTGTAATAACAAAAATTTATGTAATGTGTTTAATTGCACTGACAGCAGGTGTTCACATGATATACATATTGTGCATAAGCTTTAAACTTTAATTTCAAATGTGGTCAAGAATGAACTTTGACATTTAACTATGACAAATCTGATCAGGTTTACAACTTGATGGTGTGAAGCTGTAGTATGAATATAATTCCATCTGTCCTGGGGTTTATGAAATATCCTGTACTCAATACACAGTAGTGGATGACAAAGTCATTACTTTATATACATCTTCTGAATCGAGGGGGAGGATCCTTTAACTTTTACAATCGTTTTATGATCAATGATGCATTAGCAGTTACCAACAATTAGACACTTTGCCTACATGGCTAGTCAGATGATTTCTTCCTCTGTGATCAATATAATATATATCACTTAAGTGGCATCTACTAGTGTGCAAGCTTACCTCCTCCACCTGGCAGTGTTGGCTGTATTGGATGTCTCCACCACAGGTGACATGTAACTGGGCTGGGCCTTGGCTGTGGGCTTTGGGTGGTCTAATGGTGTAACAGCAGTCACAGGAGTCACCTTTTTCATTACCTGATTGTACCAACAATATTGTTTTGAAATTGAAATTTGAAAACAGAAGACATAATTAAATAATACCTACAGAAATCAATAACTGATTTCAAATTCATAGATACAAACATGTTCAGTATATCATATATACCACTTAATTCTTGAGGAGTACCAATGACATTTGAAATATTGAAATTGAGCCCACTACTTACATCATTGGCTGTGACTTGAACAGGTTCAGTATTTTTGTACTTGGTCCTTGCAGATCGTGAAATGGGACCAAAACGAGACACCATTGGGGTGGAGTCAAACGGTATAATGGCATCATCTTCCCTACGATCCAAGGCACGGCTATTCAAAATAAATGGTTTATCATTGATTACTTCAAAAACTCTCTAACCTAATTATATTCATGTATACTACAGTTCAACCTCCAACACCATCTATATATAAAAATACCTGTCTATAAAGTCCACAGGTTTCAAATTCCAATGTTTGTTGGTTTTATTGCCCCTTGAACAGCCAGGTTTCATTTTGAGAGAGGTCAGCTTGTAGAAGCTACCTCACTGAACAATATACAGGAGGCCCTTCACATGCCAGTCAAAGCAACTATGGTAAAGAGTCCTACCAAAGTACACAACTACATCTGCACCAATCAGTTCAACTATTAGTTTTCTGAGAAACACACCACCATGGGTAGGGAGCGTCCCAACGTAATACAAATCATGATGATTGAACCTCTTTAAAACCTTTTAAAAAGGGGAACTTTTCTCTGCTTTCTTGGATGGTATTTATAAGTATATTTGACTGTATACACCTTATGCTAATAAAAATCTGCCAATAAACCAGAAAAGATCACTGAGTTTTCATGGATGTTAACATTATTCACACTAGAGCTCATTTAAACTGAGGAATGCTCCCCCAAAACAACTTCACAAGAAACCAAATCTTATCTCTGAAATGAAGGGGTTTGGAGCCCTGAATTTGGTACATTGAACATCCTCTTAGTATGACCTGTGTATACATTGAGCTTCATTATCCTACAAAGGGAAATAACTCTGCAATTAAAGAGTTGCATGCCTGAATTTGGAACACTGCAAATCCTGTTAGTATGACCTATGTATACACCAAATTTTCAGATCTGAGCTCAAATGAAAGCAGTTATGCTTTGATAATGATGGTGTTGCTGGCCCTGACTTTGTACAGCAATGCATACACCAAGTTTCAATGTCCAAGTTTAAATTCAAAATTGTGAAATCAAGCTAAAAAAGAAGCCGAAAAAACAAGCTGAAAAGGCCTGCCAAACATACCACTAAAAAAAAAGGAAGAAAATTTATACCTTAATGGAAAGATGAACTGATCCATAGGTTCGATTGGGGTTGGTTCATCTGGGATGTCATGGAGCCAATTCAACATAAACTCAGTGCTGTTTATCTGCTCCTTTTGTTGAAAATAATAATGGAAATTCTTTTTTAAAAATTGTTAAGATATCACACAACATATGTACTGGTGGGGTTTTCTACAACACAGGTCAGTTGTCCTCAATATACCATAATTGTCCTACAATAATTATAAGTTTACCAGTTTCAGGATTACATAGTACATGTATGTAGCATAAATATAATTCATCATCCATATACTTAACTCAAAATAATAAACTACATACTTTTGTAAGAGCTCACCACAACCATTGGAGATGTAGAGAATGGATCTGACTACCAACTTGTAAACCAATGCAACTTGTTACCAGACTGATACATCAAAGTGTATGTAGCTATTGATGAAATATAATGAAGACTATTGAAACTGAAAATGTGAATTCAAATTGATTCAAACTGACCTCCTTCAGCAGGTCCTCCTCCTCACTTGCCTGGTTAGATACAGCCTGGGTGTCAGTGAAATTCCACACGACATCATCAACACCATCAATTGACCACACAGCACATCCTGTGTCCAGTGCTACAACAGCAACATGTCCAATTAGAATCTACTTACACTACAACAGTAATTAATGACAGATATCATTGGTCACATAAGTATCTATGGACATATTTCTCATCCAGTGGGAGTTAAAAACATGTGCTCTCTACTGCTATGAATATGACTGTTAGATATTGTTGTAAAGATTAATCTGCTAGATGACTTACCAGCTGGGGTATCACTAGGGTTGGATATAGTAGATGTATTTCTGGAGACATGTTCAATTAAGTGGCGCTGGTGTGCATAAATGTTATCTGGCTTAAGGTTGGACGACTCCGATATCTCTCTGTCATTCTTTGTGTGGAATGTCCTGTTCCTATTACTGTTATTGCTTGCTCTCCAATAGGAAACATCAGATTTGTTATGACCACTTGTCTTGCCAGTAGAATTTGTCATGTTTTGAACTTGGTCACGGTTACCATATGCCTGTGACTTGTCCCATTTCTGGACAGAAAAAGAGGATCCTAATGTTGAATGTGGTGCTGAGCCAGTCATGTCACAACTTTCTTCAGAGGTATGGTGAGCTCCAAAGTTGGCTGGCTGTACCATTACCCATTTAGAGGAGCTGGATATTTCTTGTTGATGAGAAAAATCAGAACTAGCAATACTATAATTTTGGTTGGTCACTTTATACTCCTCCACACCTAGAATCTCCTTTGTTGGCTGTTTTGAGGATGTTAACAACTGACTTTTGTTGTAGTCTCGCTGCCAACTTGAACCACGTTTTTTGTCTACTTGAGCTGAACCATGTCTACCTGCAGGAGACCCTTCACATCCTTGCTCTGAAAGAGTTCCAATCATACTTCTCTGTCCTGTCATCATCTTAAATAAATCCTGTTCCTCACTCTGAGAAGATTGCAAACTGCCCTGATAGAGGCCCAGGCTGCTGTGGAACATGCTCTTTTTAGAATGAATATCGCCACGAAGCATGTCATCTGCATCAGATTGTGGTAATACATTACTTGAATATGTAGGTGTCTCACTATTTGTAAGAAGATCATCAGCTGGGTTGAACAGTCGATTTAAAATTTCTGCTCGGCGATGATGTAGATCATTTAGAATTTTAGCCTGCAGAAAAAAATAAAAAAAATAGTACTAGTTAGTGATATACTGGAGTAGCTGGTTATTATTATGCTGTATGTAACCACCTGAACTAATAAAAACTTTTCATTTGCAATCCATTTTCTTTTATGTGGCTTCAGATTAAGTTTATCAATAAAGGTTGATACACTTTATCTATAAATTGTATGTACCACTAAACATCATATTTAACATCTGATATTTCTATTGCATTTCTTTTTTTTCCCCGCTCTAGACTGATTCTTTTTTTTCTTTTTTTTTCAAAGGATCTATTCAACCACATTTAAAAACAACATATAAATAAATCATTAATTTTGAGTGTTAATTTCCTAGAACAATTACTCACAATTACCATGTCTATCTGAAAGGACAAGATCAACACAATTGTTTGTATTTTATTTAATAGTTAATCAAGTGATCATGAAGTTGAACAAATGTTGAATACAGTCAAAGAAGTAGGTACAGGTCAGCTCTGACAGTACCAGAACAAATTTTGAAAGGCCAGCAAGCGCTTCAATTAAAACTCAGAAAGGAAGGGAGAAACTCTCAATTTATACCAAATAAAATGGTTTCTACAAGTATTTCTATGAAATATCAAATGTTATCATGTCTGTAGCTTGCAGAACATATCCTTTTACTAGCTTCCAAATGATATTTTTTTCCTTAGAGTTTTGTATGAAGAGCTTGTCCCAGGCAAAGTTTTCACAAAATGTGGGTTTCATTTGCAGATTTTTGAAATGGTGTGAATCTTAAACAAAAAGTTCACTTGACCTTAATTTTACCAATCAATTAAGATTAATATCTGTTGTAGCAGCATAACAGAGGTTTTATCAACTGAACAAATTTGTTATGGCCAAAATATACCAGTAGTTTGTCAAATAATGACTGCTTTTTTAATTACCTTTGAATTAAAAATAAAACTAATGACCAATATACTCTTTGACATTATAGATACAAAATTAACATGGTATCCATATTCAGGAAGTGGCATGTTGTGAATTAAAACTTGTATACGAGATATGAATAAACTAAATGGCCGCTTTGGTATACAAGTCACGTGACCAATGAAATATACCAATTTGACTGTATTTACATAGTTTGTATCACAAGTACAAAGTGACATTTACATCGAGTTATAGGTTGAATATCACCTACTAGATAATTTACCTGGATAGAGTTGCCACCTGTTGAGCCTTGTTGTCCTGTCCATATCTCATCACTGCTTGGCTTACAACCCCACAATTTTTCCCTAACCTAGCTAAAGCAAGTCTTTATTATCATAACGGCTACTTATCAATCCTTACCAAACCTCTCATACACAGGGGCAAATTTTAATATTGTCAAATATCTGCTCTCCAAATGATTATAATCTTGCTGTAGACATACCATAAAATTTTAGAGCCCCTCTTCTGTGCTTGTTTTAGACTTTACTAAACATACATTTTACCTAATCATGACAGTAACAGGACATAACAAAATAAAAAACAACGAAGTTCTTTTGACCTTCTTACCATGAATGTACAGCCTCCTCAACATGCACATTTTCAATTCAAATGTTTTTAAGACTATTTGCTTCCAATTTCGCATTGTTTCCTCAACGTTTGTCACCACTAACACCATATATTAATAAAATATTCTTCAAGCAATACACCATGTCTAGAAAGAAATGCATTCATAAATACGGCTGTTTAGAGGCAAATGTGTTGATCCCTCGGGGATTATATGACACCTTGATATAATTTTCAATTCTTGATAAAAACTTTCATCATATTATGAAATTAAGAATAAGGTAGTTTTTCAAAGCCAGTTTGATCACTAAAACTTTGGAAAAAATAAGATTGCACTGTAAATAAAGCACAAAATGATTTAAAACATTGCCAACACATCAACCTTAAACAGTCTTTTAAACATCATTTTTGGTGGAAATATTTTTTTTGATGAATTTTGTAAATTGAATCTTATTCAGAGAAATTCTGGATGAATTGTTTGTCACCTAGACATAAACATTTATTTTTCTGTGTGTACAAAATATATTAACCTCTATTTCTAGATTAAGCAGTGATAAGAAATGCTAAAAGTACAGGATCAATGATGCCAATACATTTATTACCTTGCGCAAAGTGATTTTAATGAATGTATTAATTCAATTTCATGACAATGATAAAATAAACACAGCCTATTGTATAATTGTATAATAACTCATATTCTTATCAAACTACGACCATGTTTTGAATCCAAAACGAGCATCACCTTGGACTGTTTTTGAGATGTTTGCATTGCAAGAAGAATGATGACCATCAGAGAAGAAACAAAGAGTGTTGCATGATTATTAAGCCAGGGGAACACCCTCAAGTATCTGACATCGATACTGAGTCTGATCCAAGTGCAACACAAGCTTTGGCTTTATCAGAATGAATAGTTTTGTAGTCCTTCTTGATACTACTTGTGTTAAGTTATGGTCTAAAATACCCATTATGGTGTAAATAAAAGAAAAATGGTAGTTACCAGAATATTTGACAATATGCAACATTAGTGTCTTTTTTTCATGGGATTTTATTTTTTCCCCTTATTTCTGAAAGTTTACATAATCACAAAAGAGTGCAATATGATATAAACGCTTAGTTTAAAACAATTTTTTAAAAATAAATGATTAAATATTTGTTTAACATTTTTTTATCAAGCCCATTTAGCCAAATGCAAGAGTTGGTTTTATCATTGGTGGTCTTGGGTGTCATAGCTACATGAACTTGACATTTGAGATAAACTATTGAATCAAGATTGTGACATACCATTAAATCACAGGCAACAGTTCATCCAAATGATACAGACATAATACCAGCTTATCACAGTGCATTGTGTATGGACTTACAGAACTATGTCACCAAGAATAAAGGTGGCAATGAAAAATCCTGAATTGTTTCTAAAAAGTTCAGGGCATTTAATTGCAAGAAGGTTACAGACATGAAATTCTATTCTGCACCTGCTATTTAGAGAGAATGATTAAAAGTAGGAAACAAAGTCAGACTTGTGATTCTGTTCAATGCTTCATTTAATATAATAGACATTTTTGTCCTAACCATTCCTGTTCCTGTTTTGATGGAGTAAGCCAAACATAAAAAATTAAATCAAATCCAAATTATTCCATCCACAAACAGGCTTTACAACACTAGCACACATTTAACCTCTCTAAATCAATACATCAAAAATTAAATTGGAAAGAATGTAGTAAATTTACAAATACTAACAAATATTACTTTAATTCACTGAATAATCATCTTGTGTCACCTCTCTAAATCAATATATAGATAAATTAAGATTGGAAAGAATATATGTGCAGTGACTTAAAAATGTAACCAAATATCATTTAATTCACTGAACAGCAATCTTGAATCACCTCTCTTATTTAATATGTACAGAAATTAAATTGGAAAGAATGGATGTGTAGTAAATTTACATAAGTAAACAAATATTACTCTGATTCACTGAATACCATAAAAATGATCACGCGTCCTGACGGATGCTTTATAATGACAAAAGGTCATTGGTTATACCTATGAGATTTACACTTTCATCATAACACTGATCAGGTTGTCACATTTTGCCGCTAGTACAACAATACTGTCGTTAAAATTGTGACAATAGGATATCATTCATCTAAGTCTCATCAAATTCCAACAAAATCATTCAACCTACCTCCTCTCATTAGAAAAAGGAGCAAATCAATGCAAAATGAATCTATTATCAGGTAAGAATATCATGATCACAAATTCCTATTAATCTATTTTCCTATACTCTAGTCTACATGAATGAATTTGAACAGCATCATATCAAAACATTACAACTTTTTTGTAACTGCCTTTGTTCCAATATAATGGAGCACAGGACATCATATTTACATTAAAAAAAAACATTACTTTTTCATATATATTCACATATGTTGCTATTAAATGTTCTTTTGTCATATTTGTACATTTGAGAATTGGGGTTTTAGTCCGCAACTAATCTGTTTATCACAGTACTGCTTGTGGTGTTCGCGACCAGGTGTTGATGGTAGCAGTCTTTACGTGGCTGATTCACAACCTTTCATATTACTTCCTTTAATATTTTCACTTCAAACCCCAAGATTTTTTCTGTCACAAAACATATAAGATCAAAAACATGATCAAATTAAGGATATCAATCAAAATCACTTCAGATATACATAAAAACACATTTAAACCTGGACTTCTTGATCTGAGTGAATGTTATATTTACAACACAACCTCACTATAATAACATGCAATGCTTTCACAACTTTCTATACATTCAACACAACCCAGCAGGCAACAATATCCTCAAAATATCATCACACACACACACATATATATACACAACACTGTCTTACTTATGTACAGCTTAGAAAGTCAAATATTTTCTTGATTAGTATTTATAAAAAGAATACTGTCACTAAGACGGTACGTTACATATCTGATCTACTGTCTCTGTATGTACTTGAAAACCAAGCTCTTTGAATACAAATCAAGCAACTACAACTATCGAACAACGGTGAATATAGAGAAAAAAATTATTTTAACTAGTAACAGGTTATTTAGGGCAAAGTTTTTTTTGGTAAATTGTCAAGCTGCTTGAAGACAAGCAATTTATTAACTTGTGTTATCGGGCGCGTAGTAATCGTGGTACTCAATGCTCTCAACCTGAAATATTGAAGCGAGTGGGTGACAGCAGTATGCACTTCCTGTTGCCTGCAAGAAACAGAAATATGGTGAGAGAGATGGAGAACATGCCAACATACCGAGGTGTACACATTATATATATCACAGACACATCCATCATTTTCAATAAAAATTTAGAAAAAAAAGTCCTGTTTTTGTCTGGTGTGGATGGACAAAACAAGACCTGCACTGTCTATAACAATGAATCTGTATCTATTATCATAAAACTTTTCAACAGCTTTATCTCTGCCATTGATTCATTGTATATCGTAAAACCATCAGTATTCCTGGCATGACCTCAACACTATGCAAATTTCTACTTTAAATAGGAATGCTAACCAATGCATGAACTCAACAAATTGATCCAGGGATGAAGACAAAACCACAACATATATCCTGTGAGAGTAAGGCTCTACCACTGACATTGGAGAACAGTTCTATTGGCTCGTTTTGGGCAAAGTACAACCAGAGATGAAGTGCTTCTAAACAAAGAAACCTTTGACTTTTTCTGGAAACAAGAACCATTTTCCTTACACATTTTTATATATAGCCAAGAGAAGCTGTGTATCAAATGAAATTTCATAAGGTCATACTGCTTCATGCTTCAATCTTAAATGTTTTAATAAAACTTTTTCCAGTAGTCCAAAAGTATGAATATTCTATCTGATTGGTAAAGAGTTGAAGGTAGAGTCTGAACAGCATCTGCTACAAGATACCTGCAAAATCTGTTGATATGTTTTGAAAACATTTCACTATGTCTAGTATGTCAAAACAGGTCAACAAAGCAACTTTGTGCTGACATCATTCTACAGATGTTGTCTAGTCAGCCCTACCTTCAACTTTGATTTCTTTATTGAACTTGGGTCTGTATTTCTATGGAATCCATCAGCGGAGGACTACCACAACATTAGAAATATCTACACTGACATTTCTTTGTATAGTTATTTGTGAAGAGTACACCTGACTTAAAAGTGATAATTGGAAAGTGAAGCTAGTTTATTGCTGTTTTTGTTAAAGATAAACATCTTCTCAAAATATGTCTATTCTAAACAGCTGAATTCCATTCTGAACATTAGTTTGCCCTATCCTTGTCATAAGTTTAAGCAAATATCTCAATTTGCAAGGAAAACCTCGGCTATAGGAAAAGAGGATGTTTTTAAACATCATAAATATTTGACAACTTTCAATTAAGGCAAGGTCACAGTAACTGGTGTTTGCAAAGTATTGAACAAATGTTTGGTACAACAGAGAAAACGCTATCAAACTAGCGCAGAAACCATACAGGTCACAAACAACTAGATATAGATAAATAGATATATGTCTATATATATATATATATCATATACATGGTCTAAACGAAACATTGTGTGGCTTTTTACAAAGTTAAAACAGTGTATGCATTACTGCATGAAAACCTCACAATGTTTTTACAATGGAAATTTTGAAGTCGACCGTCACATGCTACTACTACAGCATGGCTATTAGCCAACACAGTACTTCACATGATCATGTCGTTACATATATATTAGGGAATGCCAAATACATATACACATACACCACCAGTCTACACATAGCCGAGCGGAGTACAGATCTGCCTGTCATTGGTTTGTGTGTTGTACATGTGTCCGTCTGTATCTCTATCCCTGCAGCTCCATACATCATCTTCTTAATATAATGGCTGATGTTTACACTGAAAACGGTGCACCGACACCTATCGCCTTACTTACCTTTTGCTGTAAATAAAATGGGGTGGCACTAATTACCTGCCCTTGCCCAGGTGGCATTGTTCCAAGTTGATAGTTTAATCCTTCTGGGTAGTTTCCTACAACAGGGTAGATTTGGTCCTCTGGTGTAAGGGGCCTGGATCCTCCACCTTGAAATGGCTCAGCGTATGGGTTGAGGGCACTGGAGTTGTGCGGGTAGTTGTAATTTACAAAGCCAATTGGAGGTTGTTGCTGTTGCTGTTGTGGGAAAGGCATTCTCGTCAGGCCAGGATCTACTGGCTGTCTAAAAGGTACACCACCGGTATACTGGACTTGTGGTTGTGGTTGAGGCTGGTTGTTGTACTGGGGTCTGTAGGGACCCGTCATATACCTTGGCATGGATTGAAATCCTGGTCTGCCAGTCATTACATTCTGGCCACCTGTCGAAAAATTTTATACACATTAATTAAGAAGTCTTTTATCCTTTTATAAGCTCCTTATTGATAATTGACTAGAACATGACAAGATATAGAACTTTCTCAGTGTTTCTTTGGATAACACTGGCTTATGAAGGGCCGCAATAGCTTAGTCAATATAGCATCAGACTTAACCTCAGGTGAAAATGCAAGATGTGCGGTATAATGTCTACTCATAGTGTCTCTCAGGAAGCTGTACTGAGGTGTTGTGTTCTTTGACAAGACACTTTACAACAATTACTTTGTTCAATGAAATTGCCCTCAGTAATTAAAAAGAGATCCCATCTAAATATGACCATGGCTTTAATAAACCTAGTCAACTGATTCAGAGTACCCCCCTTGTAAACACACCCTCACTTTTTCAGGGAAAGAAGGTGATTATACTTAACCAAAGGCAGTAAAAGGGGTGACTTTTTTCTTCCAATAAATTTATTTTTACCTACCTAACAATTGCTTCTATTTGCATTTTTTGTATTCCCAAAAATTTTCTTTATGAACAACAATACTAAGACAATAAAAATAAAAAATAAAAAAAAAACAAAAAAAAAAAAGATTATCAAAACACTTACATGTTCAACTGTTCGAAAAGGACAGGTTTTATCTTATTCTCTTTATGTCGGATATCAGAACGAACCAGATGCCATAAGCATATGTCCTTTTTCATGTGTATTGGTGGAAGTCAGCATTGACATATTAGTATGCTGAGTGAGGATTGAGACTTGTCATCAAACTATGGACTTAATTCATTTTTTTTTTAAATTGGTCTTACATCCAATAACCAGGGAACAGCCTAGATGTGATTATCTTACCAAAACATGTAATGCCATTCTTCTTTAGTTTGGCCATTAATAGATAGATAATGACTGGTAACTGTCAATTCAACACTGAACACTGTTAATTAGGCCTAGTGTGAAGACATGTGTTTGTGTACAGAAGACAAATAAATATGGATTAATTGGATTGGTAAGTGAATGATAAACATGTCTGATGGCAAAGAAAACAAACAAGAAGTGACAAAAATTATACAATGATTTTCCTAAGATACCAAGAGATACATGCTTAACCAGTCCCTCAACCAAGAGCTCCTGTGGAATCATACCTCCAAATACTGGTCTAGATCCTGCTGGTACTCCAGGGCCATGGGTCCTCTGAGTAGGGGGTCTCTGTCCCTGGTACATGTCTAGAGGGTAGGGACTACGCGGCACTTGTACAGGTGGGGGCTGCATGGTATTTGGGGGTGGAATAAGAGGTGCCATTCCAGGTACTACTATAGAGCTCATCCGTGGTCCTGTCTCTGAGGATTCTGTCATCTTGTCTGATGTCAATCCCTTGGCCTGAGCAAAGGTTAGTGAAGACATTGACTTTGCCAAAGAAGTCAGCACTTTGGCTGTCACAACATCAGGCAGAGGTTTACTCCTGTAAACAAAGTTGCTTATTATTTGGTGTCATCACCTTGACAATATGATAACAATATGACAGCTGTTGGAGATAACCATATCCTACCAGTTTATGACATATATTAACCTAAAATGTGTTATAGTCTGAATGTCTTGTACCCAGAACAGTGAAAATTTCAATGTTCCTTTTAAACTTGTATCCGTTTTAATCAATTTCATCAACCACTTTTGGTTTTGTATGATATATGGAAGTATTAACTGACACACTCTTCATACTACATAGCAATGTCCCAACTGTCTACAATTCTAGCATCCCTTTCAACAGAGCAACTGATCCAACACTGATGAAATTCAAAACCATACTTAAAAGTAACGTGAAAATAAAATACCGTAAAACCCCATGTAATGTGCACATTTCCTTTATGCTAAATAAAGGTCTCATGGGGGTCTGGTATGTACCAGGGTTTTCCATCAGAGCCGGTCGCCGGCCAATTTGACCGGCTACTTTGATCATTTGGCCGCCTACACCAATCCAGTTCCATTATAATGTTCCGTACACAACTACATGTACATGGCAGGCCAGCCTCCTACTTACACTACACAGCCCACTACTAGCAAAATTATGGAAAACCCTGATGTACATTAAGTAGCTATATGATTTTCAAGTTTTTTTCCATGGAAAAATCAAAGATTCTGTGAGGCCGCCATCATTGATTGTTGGGATTATCTGGTACTCCAAACCAACAGAAAATGGATTTGACAAGTTATTTATGAACAACAATAATAAATAAGATAATTACTGTATATTTTAATGCAAACTACGCAAGTCAATATCATGCAAAATTTGGACAAAGTCTTAAAAAAGTACCAGCAGGATAAAACGATCGGCAAAAACAGTGTCCTGTTTGGGATATTCAAAAATGTGTAAATGGTAATATAATTATCTTTTGAAACACTTGCATGTTCAACTTTTAAGATATTGACAGGTTTCATATTATTCTACTTCATGTCCAATACTGACATGAACCAGAAGCTATGAACACATGATCCGTTTTCATGTGTAATGGCAGAAGTTATCGCTGACATAATAGTATGCGGAGTGTCAATTGAGCCTCATCATTAGACTATGGATTTACTTCAATATTCCTTATATGGGTCTTCCTTTGTTTACTAAGTGATATCTATAAGTCTAGTAATAACTAGGGAATAGCACCTGCGTGATCATCTTACCAAAATGTGTAACAATACACCATTCTTCATTTGACAACTGGTCATTAATAGGTAGATAATGACTCGTACCTGTGATTTCAACACTGAACACTGTTGATTTGACTCCCAGAGAAAAATTTCGACTGAATTTTTGGGTGCGCACATTATGCAAGTAGAAACATTTTTTATACTATTTTCAGCCCCATAAACATACCTATGCACATAATGTACGTGTGCACATTAAGTGGGGTTTTTATGGTAGTGTCATATGATGCAATAATGTACAGAAACAAGTGAAAGCAATTTCAAGTCTATTAAAGTCCCTTCAATCATTAATGTCGAGTCAACATTCTATGAATCTTAAATAGCCTAAAAGCTATGTAAAATTTCTGCCCTATGCTCTTATTCACTGCTGTTCTAAAACAACATGAAAACAAAACTCAATGAAAAATTTTTAAAATCCTTGAAGTCTCTAAGATCATTTTCAAGGGGTTCTAGATGGAATTGATGACTACAATTGCAAGATATCTTTTAGTCCTAGAATAAACTGTCCTTTGTCTTCTTTTTTGTTTTGAAGTTCTTATAAAATTGCAGTTACAAATTCAATATAATAAACCATCACTATTAGTTATCTTAAATATCCTATTCAACTAAAAACTGAGGAAAGCATAGCTAAGACCAATTATTCACTTGCCCTTGAAGATTGAAGAAGATCCCTTCAGATTCTTTAGCTCATAATTACCTACGAATTGCATGGCTTGTACTTCATCAAACATTATAAACAACCCAATAAGTTACCTTTGGTTACCGTATCCTGTGGCAAAATTATCATCTTTAAGTTTTTCTGATACTTGAATACTGTCTCCGTCACTAGTTGGGAAATCTTCATAGTCAGGAGGTGTGTTACAAACTTTACCAGTTTTCTTGGTCCGTGATCGGTATCTACAAATTTATAGTTGAAAATCTTCTGTAAAATAGGTGTTTTGAAAAATCCATAAAATCCAGTGTTACATGATAAAGAACTTTAATTTGTTATCAATTTTCCTGATTTGATTCAGTATTGTATTTTGTGCAAGATGGCCTAATATTATCAAATAAGTACCAGTAGATAGAAATTATCTGTGAAGGGCCCAGCTCAAATACAAATTAATAATACTGGCTGAATTTCTGTAAAATTAATGGTCACAATGTGAGAATGATCATGTTACCATGAAACACAGTCTTATCTGGGGTTTTCTTTAAATTCACCTCTGTATTTTCTTTGAGTTCTCTAAAGAAATGGAGTCTTGACATTAAAGAAATTATGTTTTTACAATAAAGAATAGAGTCTTCACAGTGAAAACATTCACACAGAATGTGGTGGACATGGGTACCACTATATGCACAACTTCCATATAATGGAAGGGACAAACATTGTGACTTTGATAATTATATGTTATATTGCTTTTAAATGCAATCTTTGACAAAGAACCAGCATTTAAAGAAAGGTTAAAACTTCAGTACACAATACTATGCCAACACAAACTAAAGTATATGAACAAGCTGCTGCCTACTTATCAAGTTCCTCTTGGGAATGAGCAAATGTGCAGTTAGAAGATCTAGGACAACTGTTTTTCTGTAAAAAATCTCGACACATGCTGGTTTTGTATCGAGAATTATGAACAGTTGTGTTTTCCAACTTTTTGTGTCCATTGCTCTTTACAAAGTCAACTAGTCCTTGGACTACACTGCGCACTGCCTTCATTACTGCCTCCAGGTTCTCCCAGGATGGGGGTGGTGCCTCTGTTGACAAAATACATTTCAATATTGAAGATATGCTTTGAAGACATACTTTTAATAAATTCCTACAAAAATTCAATTTACATTGTTAATGAACATTATAATCAGTTTGACAAAATCTGTGATGTCAAGTTAAGGAGGAAGTGAAGTAAGTGTACCAATTATACTTTCTCAAAAAAGAAATATGATCATTTCAAAGCCTTACTCAAAAGTTGCTACTTTAAATTTCTTTGGAAAATCCGAGAAAGCTTTAAAATGATTTTTTTAAGAAACCTATATCAGGAGATAAAATTTTAAAAAATGGGGCAAAGCCACAATTGGCCGGGTTGCGAGATGAGTGCAATGTTATATGGTATTAATAAGACAGTTAAAGGTGTTTCATTTGTTGAGTATGTAGAATATTTGTTATAAGAGAGAAAGTTTGGTTGTATTTTATGAATTGGTGCAGAAGAAGGGCATCTGAAGAAAGAAGTTGCAGTCATTTTTTATTCGGAGATGTTAAAAACATGGACAATGGACATCTAGGACCCCAAGGTGATTTATATGTGGAAAAGTTCAAAGCCCTAAAAATCCAGAAAAACGTCCGGAATGAATCCATAATAGGAGGTACACATCTTCAACATATATATATAATTATCCTACAAAGATTCAAGCTGCTACGTCAAAAACTCTAGGAGGACTTCATTCTACAAAACTAGTACCCCTTTTCCCCACCCGCCTGCCCGACATTCACCATAGTATAACCCGGTTTTTGACTAAGTGCAACCCGGCCAAAAATGATTCCCTAAAAATAATTTTTCCTAAACATTTTTGAAAATGTGCAAATTTATCTTTCACAAACCAACACAAGTTAGTAATTAGACTATAAAACAGTATAAGCTATAAAGCAACTCTATAATATCAAGCACTGAAATTGCTTGTACTGAATATTCAAATAATTGTCTGGAACAAGTCAAGTTTTTCACATGGCAGTGATTTTTTTAATGGATTATTTTAGAAGTTATCAGTGAAAATGATGAATGTTCCACAAAAACAATTTTAACAAAGGGCAATAATTAAGTAATTAAGGGGTTTCAGGCACTAAATTTGGTACATTGTACATCCCCATAGCATGTCCAATGTATACACCTAGTTTAAATGAAAGCAAAGCTTATGTTCTGGACATAAAATTTTAAGAATTGACATTAACTCTGTAATAAAGGGGTTGCATGCCATGAATTTAATACACTGCACATGGTCTTAGTATGACCAATGTATACACCAGATTTCATTATCCTAATTTCAATGCAAGCAAAGTTATATTCAGGACAAATTTTTTTTAAAAAGAATGGCAATAACTCTGTGATTGAGGGGTTGCAGACCTTGAATTTGGCAACTACTCATTGCCTAAATATGACCAATTTAAACACAAAGTTTCATGATCCTTGCTTAACTGTGAGGAGTTATACTCTAGACAAGAAAGGATAGATGGAGTGATGAACAAAATGCCAACCTACTCTGAAAAACATTTTCAGGGAGCATAACAATCATATAATGGTATGTTGTCAAGTATATAAACATTATGTCAACTTCCACAATAGCAGAAGCACACGAGTACAATGTAAAAATTAGGGTAAGCAATTTTATTAAAAATGCAGCCAACTATGAAATTTACTAATACATGAGGCTCATGGGCCTTAACGGTCACCTGAGGCCTTAAGGTCTTTGGACAGTTTAAGAACCTGTCCATAAGACCCAGCATTTGGGCAGGCAGAACAGAACTGATATATGCATATTTACAAAGTTTTTATTGTTTCTAAGTTTGAAGGCTTAATTTTCAAGCAGAATTGATAACATTCTATGTTGTTGTAGTTTAGCATATTTGACTTGTGATCTTGAATAAAGACCAAGGTCATTCCTTTCAACAACTTGGTAGCCCCTTATCCCATCATGCTACAGGCTCACTATCTGCACTTGGGGCTTTTGTTTATTGAGAAGAAGTCATTTAAATATTTTGACATATTATGATAACTGTGACCATGAAAGTGGGTCAAGGTCAAAAATATTAACAAACTTGGTAACCCTTCATGCCAGGATGCTACAGGCTAAGTATCAGCACTCTTGGCCTTTAGTACTGAGAAGTCATTTATAGATTTTTGACTTCGTCTCAGGTGACCTAATAAAACTATACAAATATGAGCCTAATTTGTGTTTAGCATTGAATGTTTAAAGGTTCATAAAACCTCAATTCTCAGTTACATCAAAACATATACATATTTGGCATCTCAATTCTGCTATTTTTACTTGCAACTGGTGAGTGTTTTGTTATACCTGGAGAGGGGTCTATATTAGCAAGAAACTCCAGATGTGTCCTCAGTCTCTGTAGGTTACATGGATCACCTGTCCTCTGTAGAGCAATCACCAGCTCGTTTACACTCTGTGAGAAGGACTGAGGTGTCTGCAGCTGAAAATACCCAAAGTGACAAATTATATATACATAACTCAATAATGTTTTTGCAAATAATGATAAAGGTTTAAAAGAAATCCCTGATCTGCACAAATATTAAAACATTCAGTTTTGCCTTGCTAATCATCTATGTTTGCATATAGTGTTGAATAAGTTAAGTCTGTCTACAGATCTTACCTGAACATGAATTTTCAAAACTTCCTAGCAAAATAAGAATTTTATAATTTATGAACCACATATCATCATATCAAGATCAAATATAAACACTGTTTAAACTGATATTTAATAGGAACACCTACTTTATCTATGATTGACTGCATATGGGATTTGTGAGTAGTGTCACCGTACAACAGTGATGACCATTGGTCAGGGGCTATCCTTAGACCTGCTTCCATAGCAATCTGTACTATCTGTGAGTCATGGTCACGTCTTAAGGCGTCGTATGTCCTGCATTCTTCCTTCAATTGCATCAGTGATGATTCCTCTTCTCGCTTTGTCACCTACGAAACAAAATAGCAATCTGATTGAACATAAACATGTATGAAACACTATAATGAAGAATATTGGTTCTTACTATCCCATGCTGATTCACTGTCGACTGAATAATTCCTCTTAATCAATTGTGTTCTAAAATGTCCTATCAAATAGAGAGTATTACAAAAACTTTTCACTGAAATATCTATTAGTAGTGACCAGGGATTCCAGAGGAATTTCAGTGACCATCATTATATTTACCTTTTCTCTGTAATTCAATCTAATAATTATTTTACAGTTTCAATCATTTATTATACATTACCAGCACAACTTATCAACACCAAACATGTCAGATTTAGAAATTGTACCGTACATATGTGCTACCAAACACCACAAAGCAAGAAAGTCTGCCCAGTAGTGATATAAGATCTCATCAAAAGCAAGTCTCTTATTACTTAAACAATAATTTTCCTTACCACAAAGCAGGAAGCTCTGTATAGTAGCTGCACCACATGGCCTATAGCTGTTTTAGAAGCCTGTGGATAGTGGGTCTCAAGGCGCTGAACCACAAACATGACCAGCACTTTACGTGACAAGGCTGAGCCATCTTCCAGGGCAAGCAGAATTAGTTTCAATACCTCCTCCTGCATAGCTGTAAACAAACATCAGTCTTTCATCAAGTTGTAAACAAACATCAGTCTTTCATCAAGTTGTAAACAAACATCAGTCTTTCATCAAGCTGTAAACAAACATCAGTCTTTCATCAAGCTGTAAACAAACATCAGTCTTTCATCAAGACTTACTGAATTTGATCCTATCACACCATGAAATGTCAAATATTTCACTATTATGTATACTATTATTACTTAATTAAGCAATATTAATTAACAAGATTTGAATAAAACAAGTTCAATAATAGTTTAAGGGTCAAGCAAAAAAATCTTTCTTCCCTATACCGAGACTTCAAATCATCTGGCACAATTTTTATTAGTACCAAAGTTGACAAGACAATATTTCTACCTCAACAAACACAGCAAATATTAAAACAAAGTTTGAATAAAAAGGGACATTTTCATTTATAAAACATTTTTTCATGCATGAAATAAGAACACAACTTTAAATAGAAATTATCAAGAAACAGACAATAAAAGCTTACATTTTCATTTTCTCCATTGTTACATATACCTGCATTATACGAGTATGTATTTTCCAGATCAGTTTTGAACAATACAAGCCTCAGCACTTAAGTGAATATCACAAATTTAGGTTTAACTCTTTATGTTTTCACAATTCTGTAAATTAGACCTCACTACATGCTATTACCACAATGTCATTGGTGACGTACTATTACCATAGATTTAATGTCATGGCTTGTAAGTTAGCAGTTTAACTTTAATCTAGATTTGTGTCCAGTCATTAATTAACATTGCAACAATGTGTATAATTAAGCCTGCTATCATAATTCCTTTGTCATGTTGCTCCTTCCTGAAAATGTGTAAAATTCTGCTGCAGTGCCAAAGTATGTGTACAGTACAGGTGATTTGTTTTGTTGGAATCAGGAGGTGTCAAACTGTCAATGAATGTTTATCATAGTTCATGTTCCATAAAAAACTTTGATATACAGGTAAGTTCAATTTATAAGACTTTTATTCAAAAAGGGGTAGGGTTACAGTAAACCTCCAGTCAGTTCAAATAGGTGGGTAGTTTGAACACAATTTTTTCAATAAAAACAATAATTTTCATCTAGTGATAGTTCCAACTCTTTCTAGTTTGTTTCACTTACATTCTTAATTGTTCTAACATACCGCAAGAATGCACAAATTACTATTGAACAAGGCATTGGCATCGCAATAATCTCTCCATGTGGTCACTTTTCACATCAATGTTCAACGCTACATGTACATGTCACTTAATTAGCACTGATATGTAGTATAATTTACTTCACATCTTGCCATAACATCATGTCCGTGCCAGCTGACACAACTCAACGCCCCATATTACATGCTAATTATAAGTGATCTGTAAATATATATAGACTATGGGATGTCTGCATGTGTTTTAGCAAACAACATTGTTTCACTTCAATCATATCAACACTGTCCCAACAATTTTAAGATTCAGGAAGATTTTAACAAACTTTAATCGATAGTCATATTAAATCTCAATCCACACTTCGCATTCTGATATGTCAATGCTAACTTCTACCAATAAATAAGCAGAAATATGTTTTTTAGCGGACTGGTTTCTTTGTCACAATATCAAATGTTAAGAACATCAAAACGAAACCTGTGATTTCTTAACAGTCGATGAACATGTATAGCAGTACAGTAAGAGTTACAAAAGATAATAATGTTATAATCAACCCCACAGAAAACGACATTTCCGACTCATAGTTTCCTGCCCTGCTGAGATGCTTTTAGACCCTTTGTCGCGGTGTTAAGCAAGGTTGACCCTGACAGTTCAAACTGTCATCTATTTTCAAGAGCATGATTTTGTATAAATCTGACAGGTTCAACAATATTTAATTAATTTTGTTCAAACTGATGTAGGGTTTACCATATATAGGAAAATTTTGATAAATTGAGAAATTGAACCATTGAAGTTCAATTCATAGAATTTTTACTGTAATACTGATATAATACTATCTCACTAAATTAAAATCTGAAATTTGTGTATCCCATGCCTATTACAGCAGGAAATATTATTTACCCAATAATCATACAACCATGAAATTCAATGGTTTTGTGTATTTTCACACAAGCAGATCGAAATTCAATACACTCTGCAATAAGTTGCTGAATTTGATTATCACACGCTAAATACCTGGTCCTAGAAACTGACAGCCTCTTGCCCTCACAGCTGCCCATAGGTTAGATGAAAGTTGCTGTGGATTCTGATGTTGTAAGATGAGCTCTGTCACTGTACGTTCACCAAGTGACCGGGCAGCTCTCATGGCCCTGCCACGCCCCTCCTCCTCCACCAACTGACAGTTGACCAGAGTCACAAGTTTCCTCTGCATTGGTCGGCTCAGCATACAGTTGTTTAGAGAATTCCCTGTACTATTCACAGAGGAACCTCCTATTGCTGTCACCTGTGTGCTGCCATTGTTGACAACTTGGCCTGGTACAACACCTAATGGTTGAAATAGAAGATGAAAACATAATTCCCGTTTTTATACTGATGTTCAAGATTAAGACAGAGGATCATCATTCATTCAAGGTACAAGATAACATAGGATCCTTTTTAATATCAAATAGATAAAACATAGGGCCCTTCATTAATAAAGAGGATGATGATGTTACATGAAACAGCAAAGTTCTCAGATCAAATAAGAATTTCAAGTCTATAAAAGAACACTAAAACAAAAAAACAAACAAACAAACCAAACCCATCAAGTCATTTCACATTCAACACCCTACCACATATATTGTATATAAATATCCTTTATCAGAGTCAATCATCAAAGCTTTACACTTCTTCAAATCAATAATTTACTGCTGCCAGACATGAGATTATGTAAACCAATTCATTTCTTAAAATGCTGATGAATTATACAATGCTGCTAAGCTACATACTATTCTACTTACTTGTGGAGAGTGGTTTAAGGTAGAGAGCCAAAGCCTCAATACAGTGACGGGCCGATTCATAGTTGTTGATATTTTCCTGTGGGACAGACACATTATTGTCACAGTTTGGGGCTATGGCTACACCCACCAATTGTAGTAAGGCATGGTTTATGGGTAGCTCACTGATGGACTTGTTTATGAGATTCTGGTCAAATGGGCACTTCTTCTGTTGAAGTTTAGACAGACAAGTCCTGCAGATTGTATGAGAGCAAGCAAGGCTAATAGGGCACAGATTCTTCCCATCAAAGACTTTATAGCAAATTGGACAGGATAAGAATTCTGTCCAGGCAGGTGTCTGTACAGGCATATCTTGATGATTAAATGTTTAACTTTGGTATCCTTAATATTATAAAGATTATACACTTAATATGAACATTCTTGTCCCATAGAATGAAATAGCTGCTCTTCTTCGGATCCTGGGCTTTATATCATATATGGCAGTGTGCCAAAACTGAATTAATCTGTAAGAGACAAAAGAGGTATTTTCAACTATGAATAACAAAATGATATAAATAATGATTTAGATCACGTTTTTACATATACCTTTTAGAAAGCCAAAACCATTCACAATAAACATGTAAAAGGTAAAACAAGCTTTTATTTTTCCCCTATACAATGCATTTAATTTCAATAACACAGATAGTATATTAACATTGGTCTTTTTAATCATAACTAAAACATAAAAAGAAGAGGAGAACATTGTTCTACATCCTGATCCATACATTATCTATTTGTTATAAACTAAATGATAAAGAGTCAAAGTCAGTCTCAAGTAGGTGGGTAGATCAGCTGGGTGCTGCGAGTTGGGTATTGATACCAGTGGGTATGCAGGGCGGTGAAATAGAATATAAAATTAAATACAGGTAGTTTCAATCACAACATACCCAAGCATCACTTGTTAAGTTGGTAATTTATTGGCCAACTTGTTTCACCTCTATAAGCGAGGCTTCATCAGGACCATGATATTTGTTATATTGCTAACTTTCACTTTCTGAGAAAACTGATCAACATAAATGAATTGCTGATAAAGGTCTTTATATGCATACAACAGAATCCTCAATGTAAATGAATATAAAGACTTCAGATGAACTTGAGTAATTCTGTTTTGAATGTAATTCTTATATACTTCAAATTAAAAGTACACACAAAAAAACGTCATTGGACCATGAACAAGGTCATGGTGACTGTGTCAGTTAGCGATTTATTTCTATATATGGTTACTAAATAAGTATCACAATTGCTAGTATGGAAACGCATGCAATCATATTTCTTGAGCAAGACATCAGGATAGGAGCACCTGATAAGGAATTCCAATGTAACACTAGTAAAATACTAGCTGCAATATACGACTTGGCTAGAGAGTTCTTTAACTCGATTGGTTGAGCGTTAGAATAGTAAGCCAGGGGTTCTGGGTTCGATTCCTAACAGAGGAAATGAAATGAAAAATGGCCTTTGTTACATTGGCACCCATGTTGGGATCCGGGAATAGTACTTAGCCATGCTCCACCAAAATCGCTGTAAACCCTTGGAAACTTGAGGACAAGTTATTTCCTGGAGGGAGAGTATGTAACCCTGGTAAAATACTAGCCGCAATATACGACTCGGCTAGAGGGAGCTTCTCTTTAACTGGATTGGTTGAGCGTCAGGCTAATAAGCTAGGGTTCCATTCCTAGTGGAGGCATTAAAATAAATAATGACCTCTGTTAAACCAACAAGGGATATTGTCAAACGTCCTAGATAAACGAGTCCCAAGGAGAACCCTAAAAGGGAATAGAGTACTGGGGCATCCAACGTGCTACCTACGACAACAGGTATTTATTTATCACTAATTTTGATCAATTTGAAACATACATTTAAGATATAGGTCTAGTCGATATTCTAGACAGATTTTATATGTTTTTTCATCACTTTATATACCTGTCGTACAATCATAATCATGAAAGCAGAGCCGAAAGGATGTACTAAATTTGAAATCGATAATTTCCTCTACTCTGACACTTACCAGTTGTCACCTTTGTGATGATAAAAATATTCAGGCAACATACTTCTAAAATGAAGTAGTTGCATGAATAAATATTTACAACATGGATGAAAAAAAGAAAAAAAAATAGCGATCTGAGACCGCTTGCCTCATCCCATCATGGCGGCCGTGTTGCGATATAAATACTTCCGGTGTCTGCTAGCGCCACCAGCCATCAGGGGAAGGGACTCTGCCAACTCATTAGGTTAAGTTAAACCTTTCATTTTTGAGTTAGCCCAGTCATTTCCCTTGTTAAACTTGTAACTAGTAACGCATATATTCCCAACCCAAAACGATTGATAAAGGAAGTTTCTCATATAATACACAATTATGTATGTGGAAACTGACCCAACTACTAATTTCTACATTTCTCATTGTCAGCAGAACCAATCCATGTGCAATACAAATTAGATTTTTTTTAAAATATTGCTCCAAAAATGCACTATGAATACTACTTAAAATATTCAATAAGATGTTGAATATACACATACTCCAATTGATTTAACTCGCATCGTAGTAATATTAAAAATGTAACTACAATCTCGTGTAATTTTCTGTGCATACTGTTCTAAGCGGAAAATATATACGGAAAAAGAGAATAATATCAGGTTGATGAAAACGTTCATCTCTTGCTGAACAGCTTGAATGGCTGATTAAGTCGACTATTTTGTACAACATTTTTTTTTTATCCGAACGGAAAACATTTTTTTTTTTTGGGCTAGGTTATATCACCATAACATTATTAAGGTGTAAATATACATATAAAATAAACTTTCATATCAAAACAAATCGAAATGGTTTTCCCCTCCAAATTCAAAGTGGGAGGAGGACATGTAATATTAGAAAATATGTTGTATAACTTATGGTGACTTTTCTGCCAGAATCATCTGCCAATCGGACGAAACATAATGATTTTTTGGATGTTTTTCGAGGTTGTGGTCATTGTCGGACAAAACTTATAATTATTTTTTTGTTGTTTTCGAGATTTTGGTCTTTGTTTTTTTTAATAGTCAAGCAACTTGCATCCGATGAAGATTTCACCATTAGAGCAATAATTTTTACACCCAATAAATAATGCACAATAATCTAACTGATGATGATGAAAATGATGATGATAATGATTAAGAGGACGATGATGATGATAATGATGAGGGTGATGATAACGAAGAAGAAGAAGAAGAAGACGACGACGATGATGATGACGATAATGATGATGATGATGATGATAATGATAATGATTACGAGAGCTTAGGATTATACTGTATGTAAGATGAATGAAAATGTACTTGTGAATGAATATGCTAAAAATCACAAATGGATACCAATACAAGATGTCTCAGTGTATTGTAATGTTTCTATATGCTATGATAAAAAAAAATTGTGGAAAAAAAATGAAAAAAAAAGAAAGCAAAATTGCTCTATTTAGGGACAAAACAGATGTTAAAAGTGTGTGTCTGGCTGAGGTCTGTTAACATATCAAATGTATTTATGTGCATTCATTCAAAATAGGTATGGTGTGTAATTAAAGTGTCCAGTGTTCTTTGATTTAATTATTTATGTCCATATGCATTGCCGCAACCACTGTGCCGGATATATTATCTTTTGTGGTAATGAATGCAGATGATGACTAGTGACACGGAGTGCTACTTGATAGTGTTGAATACATGATTTTTAAGGATTATAAAAGGTCACATATTAAGGAGTAATTCTACCATTGAATTAATCTTCTGTTTTGCATTTCCTTGTATATTTCCCGGCTTTAATCGTACACACCACTTTCCGGACGCACATCTTTATTTTTTTTAGATCGACCACGGCGATGAACTGAAATAGGTGCTCCGTCACGGTAAAGCGCCATACCTATTTGATTTTTTCAGCGGTGATATCGCCAAACCCAACACATAAATTCCCCCACGACCCCCACCCCCTATTCTTCCTCCGCTAATGTTGGCTTTAAGATGGTGATATAGAACGGCCCACTTCAGTCAGTAAAAGATTCGCGTTTTCGTCATTTCTTTTCGATTCATCGCCCAACTCTAGCAGTTGCATTGCCTTTATCTGTAGCTTAATTTTGATGTACTTATCACTGAACTGAAATATCTAAGTTAGGTTTGAAAGTGAAGGCTATCAGTTATCATTATTAATACTATAATACTCTTATCATATTTACTTCTGATACGTTTCCCAATATAGCTATACCTCTTTGTGGCCACTGAAAAGGTCACATACCAATTATGAGATTTGATGAGAAGGACTGTGCCTAAGTATGTTACTAGTCTATGTCATCCTTTGTATCAATGATTTGCAAGTGAACATATTTCATTTTACAGCTTAAATGGACATTTAAGCACTGTTTTATATATTTTAAAAAAAAAATCACAAAATTTACCGTATTTATAAAATGCTTGGCTCCTACAGTGTCGGTGTTCACTGTCTCTCAGTATCACATAGTGATTAATCGATAAAGGAATTGACCTGTCGCTTCATTTTGTTCTAAAACTCTTCACCATAACTTCAGTCGTTATCTACAGAAAATTATCGGCCACGATCACACATGGTATAGGTCACAGCAATTCTAACACGAAACAGGCATTTAGCTTTGAGTTATGAAGTCGGAAAGGCAGACATAATAACATATTCCAGAGGTATGACTGAGTTAGAGAACATGCTATTCATATTTAGTATGATCCTTGAGAGACCAAGTGAGTAGTAGTGAGAACCATAGCAGACTTTAAGAATCCAAGTGGTCTTTGAAATGCATATCAACAAATCTTCGAGAGTCACAATAGCCTTTAAAAGTCCCAATAGACTTTAAGAGTTACCAGTAGTCTTAGCGGGTCAGAGGGAAAAAATCTACGGGAGAATTTCCGAATTCCAATAAACTTTGATATTCTTGGTGGTCTTTGAGAGTCACTGGGGAAAAAAAGAGAAAAACTTCGAGACCCCCATTAGTTGTTGAAAGTCTAAATAAACTTTGAGATTTCTGGTCATCTTTGAGCCCCAGTACCCAGTATTCTGCTAGAGCGGGGATGGGTTGTGTTGGAGCAAACAAGTGGTGTATTAATGTTTTACTGGTCTCGAAGAGTCCTGTCGGTGTTTGAACTATCCTCGATACTCCAAGGTCACTTAACTTTCCAGTAGCCTTTAAGTACCAGCAGTCTTTATTGTATCGTCAACCAAGACGAGTGTCATTTTGTTTAGAATTTCGCTCTGCCTTCGATTAATGAATCAACTGCATAAGATGTTTCTTCTTTCTAGGACTCGACAGTAATGCTACATCATACAGCTGTTTCGTCTTTCTAGGACTCGACAGTGGTGCTACATCATACAGCTGTTTCGTCCTTCTAGGACTCGACAGTGATTCTACATCATACAACTGTTTCGTCCTTCTAGGACTCGTCAGTGATGCTACATCATACAGTTGTCTCGTCTTTCTAGGACTTGACTGTGATGCTAAGGGCAAATATTTTGAAACCTAAGAGAGGACCGAGAAAATCAAATATGATCGAAAGAAATGTCAAAATCCAGATAGTAAAGGTGTATAAGCCCTATAATTCAATACATTTAGAGTTTTCATAAATTTCTGATAATTTCAGAAGAACGTCAGTTTCACGCGAATGGACAAAAACATTTCGAACAGGTTATGGAAAACCTCACGGACTAAAATTCACCAACAGTGTCTACAAAAGCATCCTTTATTTTATATTGTGAAAATTTTTTAGTGTGAACAAGGCCACAGTAAAACAGAGAAGATCACGACAATTGTTCATGATGGTAAAAAATAACGACTACTACTTATATCGTTAATTACAAAACATACCCTACCAATGTTTATTGGTTAATTAATGTGTAACGCCTGTTCTTATTCTCCCTGTAATTTTTCAGAAGTCTCCATGTAAAACATTTTTTATTCATTTGAACTAGTTTTATGGAATCTAAGTTTGGATTATGATTATGTTAACATGTTGGTATCGTGTTGTTTTTAAAGACCAATTAAACTATTTAATTGTATATTTAAAAAAGATCATTATTTCCGAGTACATATTTCCTACATTGGAACATATTAAAAGCAGTATTTACTTACTCTCTTTTTAACAACAACAACAACAACAACAACAACAACAACAACAACAACAACAACAACAACAACAACAACAACAACAACAACAACAACAACAACAACAACAACAGGTGAATTAACGAAAAATAAACAAATTAAACATATAACATTAGACAATAACATCACGATAGCCAATATCTTTTATTAATCCGCATCTCTCAAAATCATGTGCTGTAAGGTTTTCTGTCAGCTGTCCATGTTTACATGTGGAAAGTGATTCGTCATTGAAGGGGTTGCTTTCAAAGTTTTCTGATTACCATTTCTACAACAATGAAATAACACTAATAAATGAAGACAGCATTAGATATGTATGTTAACCTACAAACCTGTCTGTGTTTATATTACCAAGTAAGCTGTATAAACTGGTATTGTAATTTATATATACTGAGAGCATGGTCACTATATGGCATAACTTTTATCATTCCGGAAGGCACAGGATGTAGATGTTATTTACAACTTTCAAAACACTAGTTGTTCAATCAGTTAAGAAATAAGTAGGTTCCAGCAGTCCATTCACTTAATAACTGTCGGCACGTAATATTGGTAACGGTTTATCAATACCCAACGATTAAGTTATCTAAGACAGCCCATATGTTGTCACATGGAATGTATTACTACAGAGTAGAAATATATGATTCGTAAACTAATATATGCTCTTTACAATATTGATATTACAGCCATGTATAGTTTATATATACACAAGCGAAGTCAAGAGGAGAGTAGAAAAAACTACGACGGCCAATCAAGCCTAGTTTACATGTCATTGTTAATTCCTTTACCAGAATCACTCTGCTTATCCTAGTTTAAAAAGGCAAATCTTCGGCATATAATTGATCTAAATTAAAAAAGGATCTTGTTATTTAAATAATAAAAATGCTTAATTGCAAGTTAATCCGTTATTTTGTGCCTTTTTAACACGGCGAAATATGATGGAATCGTAAACCATGGAGGTTACTTCCCTTATCCCGT